CAGGGACAGATTTATCTTTAGGTTTTCTATTATAGAAACATATCAAATATATGTATGTAATTAGGGTATATATGGGCACCATTATTTAGCCATCGGCTGGGATGTCAAATAAAATTTGTTATTGATTTTAACATCCTAATTAGAAAATATTTCAAACTCATGTACAAATGTGTGTTTCTGAATGAAACCTGTCACTAATTCAGACTAGAAGACAACGGAGTATGTACAACTCCAGGTGATTGGTACTTGTATCATTACACAGTACTTGTTGTACTGTGTATGGAATAGAAAGTAATTATATTATAACTGTCTTTAAAATCATTTTTTCTTTCTTTGCTACCAATGACCTTAAATCCCATGTGTCTTTTTTTCTTTTTCTTCATAAATGAAATATACTTATAATAGCATTCAACCCAGAACTCAAAATTATTTGTTGATTTTTTTGTGTAATTTCTTCAATATTTTTGTTTTTGCCTAACCCTTATTTTTGTGCATATACTATAACAGTTTATCATTAATTTCCTCGTATGTATCTTGTACTTACCTGTGTCCTGCCCTGACAACATGAATAAGGTAGATGGTTTTGGACTGTTCTAATTGGAAATTAAATAAAGATGTCAACCCCTTCATTTTCTATCCTGTTTAATGGTGAAACAGAATTTTATCTAGGTCAGGTAAACATGCTGTATACAGAAGTTTAAATTTAGCATGGAATTTATTCTGGTCGCCCTAAACTTCATGTGCATCAGTCATGCATCATGCCTAAATCTCGTGTTCCTAGATGCTTTCATGATCAGCAATTGAAAAATCACTTAACCTTGACAAAAGAAATAGTTTTTTGCCCCAATATCAGATTACTTTGCTAAGCTATAAATATTTTGTCAAGCTAAGAAGGTATTTTAAATGAGGTGACTTATAAATAGTATAAAATGACCTTAGGAAATACAATGAAATTGTTATTTTCTGCACTATTTACTGTCGCATGATCAGACCATGTGCTGGACATGTGGAATGTTTCGTGGTCGGGCTCCAGGGTACCAGTGTTTACAATATAGTACTGTATGTATAGAGTGACATTTATCGAGCTTTAGCTCAAGTGACCTATTGTTATCCGTCTTCGTCCGTCGTCGTCTGTCATCCGTTAACATTTTACATTTTCAACTTAAGCTGAAATACGTAAACTGGCAAAGATATTGCATTAAAGTTTCATGGGACGGTTACTGACATTTCCCTGACCAAGTGTTGTTATTTTTCAGGCCGATCAGAAATCCAATATGGCCGCCATGGCCGCCATTTTGAAAAAACATTTCAAACTTAAAGTCAAGTTCTGCTGGGCCGATTGAACTGAAAGTTGGTAGGAATGATCGCCTCATGGTCCTGACAAAGTGTTGTTATTTTTCGAGTCAATCGGAAATCCAATATGGCCGCCATTTTGAAAAACAATTTCAAACTTAAAGTCAAGTTTTGCTAAGCCGATTGAACTGAAACTTGGTAGGAATGATCGACTCATGGTCCAGACAAAGTGTTGTTATTTTTCGGATTGATCAGAAATCCAATATGGCCGCCATGGCGGCCATTTTGAAAAACTATTTCAAACTTTAAGTCACGTTCTGCTAGGCCGATTGAACTGAAACTTTGTAGGAATGATCGACTCATGGTCCTGACAAAGATTTGTTAATTTACGGGTCGATCAGAAATATAATTTGGCTGCCATGGCCGCTATTTTGAAAATACCCTTTTCAAACTTAAAAACAAGTTCTAATAGGCTGATCTAACTGAAAATCGGTCTAGGAATGATCAGCTCATGGTCCTGACAAACTTAAGTTGACGTTAAACTTAACAATTTTTTACTCAAATTGGTACATATTTCAACAACAAAAATATTAACTGTAGGACTCAGGTGACCGTTAAGGCCCATTGGCCGCTTGTATAGTATACATGTAAAATTAAATATTTATTACTTTGAAACTCACTTATACTTTTTTTTACCAAGGAACGGTGTGTTTGGCATCAAAAGTAAATGACATTAAGCTAAATCAAGGTCACTGCCTACGTACAAGGTTACCGTAAATACCTGTCAATATACATGTCCATTTTATTAACGATTTTAATGCTTTAGAGACGCCTTTATAGACCGGTTTGGGGTTATTTATAACTTTAAAAAGTAGATATCTTTAGACATGTGTTGGTTAGTTACTGTCCTGATCATGTTTGTGGTTTTAATGTACATTTATGTATAATGTTTTTGACAGGTGTGCCTTAGTACATGTATTCTTATTTATTTTAGAGCTATTGAGACTCATTTGCACATTGATTTGTTTGTTTGTTTGGGGTTTAATATCCTCGCAACAGCGAAGGTCATATGACACAACAGCCAAGGTCATATGACACAACAGCAAAGGTCATATGACACAACAGCCAAGGTCATATGACACAACAGCCAAGGTCATACTACGGTGTCTGCAGATGATGGGGCCACTTGTATGTTGTGATATAAGATAAGATATTTTGACTGTCTAGGCTTAAAAGTCAGGGGCAAACATGCATCCCAATATGTAAAATGAATGAAAGCAATATAAAAAAGTCCAAAATGATATAACTAGTTTTGTGAATACACATAATGAAAACCTTTAATATATGTACATGTATGATGCAAATCCATCGATTTTATATTGCGTCATATTTGGAATCAAATTCACATTTATTTTCAAATCCTATTCTATTTTCACAATTTTCACGTGTGATATAACCCATCTAAGAGTGAGGGGATAAACTGCTGAGCTAGAAAATCAGACTGTCACCCTTATAAACAGTTAAACTATTGTACTTTGTACCAGAATAAAACATTTTTTAGAAAGAAAGTGATAGAAAGGTTTGTTTCTTTATTTAGAAAAAAACAACAACATTAGGTGTGCTTGCTGTCACAAAGTGTCAGGTTCTATTCAAAGCGGGGCACTGCGGTCAGGCCGGTCAGGCCACCCAGTCCCCTTCCTAATACATGTAGGTAACTCCCCATCAAACTGCCATACCAGGGGGCTGGGGGCCTCGTAATACATGTAGGTAATTCCCCATCAAACTGCCATACCAGGGGACTGGGGTCTTTGTATTTTGTAATATATAAGTGTAGCTCATCATCAGGCATACCAGCTTGTCTAGACATCATCAGGCCTACCAGCTTGTCTAGACATCATCAGTGTTTGGAGTGAGGGGGGAGAGGGGTGGGGGTAGAGAAGCTATGTATGAAGGATGGGAGTAGATATGTGTCGGACATTATCTAAAACTAAGAATGATAAACACATGTGGTTGTGTTCTTATCCACATCTTCGTATGTTAATGAGACAGAAGTGTATCAATAACCCATCAACACAGATACATATTGATCCAAGTCATTAGTCTCTCCTGTAACACGCTTTCCAGTTCTTTCCTTATTTCTCAATTTCCTTTCCAATCAATTTACAAAATGTACCCTTCTGTTGTCCCATCCTAACCCCACCCAACCCCTACCCACCAAATTAACTTTACCTCCTCCTGTCCTCACAACCGTCCCCTCCCATGACACAAGTCCTTTATTGCAAACATATTTAGATTTGGTAAGGTTCAAATGTGACTTTAGGGGTGAATGAGTTAACTGCCTTTTCCCCCCAACAGACTCTTCCCCCCCCCCCCCATCATGCCCTGTGACTCACAAATACATGAAAACATGGAGGTATCTCCCCCACCGAGCTATCACTACTGCTTAAGACCCCCTCCCCCTCCATTGCCCCCTCCATTGCCCCCTCCCATACCAGAAATAACTGTCAGCATTGCATATCACACCAGGCCTATGTTCTGTACAATTAGCCTGAAGAGATGTGATGCTGTTAGCTATCGTTGTGTTTGTCTTTCTACACAGCTTAAGTCAAATATCTACTCATTTAGGTTTATTGACTTAACAATAATATATATATGTAATATGCTTTCCTGAATGATAGAATGATCCATCTTTTCAAATTCTGAGAAATCATGTTTGGATGAAAATGTTTGACCTTTGAAAGATATGCTGTTATTGTAAACCTAAAATATTAACTTGTTGTTTACTTACCTGCTGTTATCCACTGCATGTTGGGAGAGTTGACTAATGTGGGGACCCCTTTCAGAATTAGGAATTTTTGCTCAAATAAATCTACTGCATGCATTTCAACATTTGGGAATTTTCTTATTTTTTTCCTACTTTTTAACTACCTGGTACTTTTCTGTTTCCAATTGCCTCACTTGGCCAGTATTGGCCTTGACGTTGAGCCATCGCCTAAGTGACGAATGTTGTGGGTTCTGTCCCCTGACCAAGACAAACCAATTACCGTAACAACCCATGTAATTTGCGCAGTTTTTTTTCAGAAACTTAATACCCAAAGTGGGGTGTGCGCAAAATACATAGGTAGTCCTTAAAATTGGTACTTATACTTTCCTGCTTTGCTGATGTTCAGAAAAGCTTTAACAGGTTGTGTTTAGGACTGGTTTACCTGGTGTCAGTATAATGTGAGTGGGGGGAATACTGTGTCGGGTACCTTTAGCATTGTATTTCAGTGAAGTTGCACTATTAAGGTCGGTCGGCATCAGATCGGGATCCCTGCTATCACAAGGCGGCAAATACACAAAAATACCACCTCCAGCACATACACTAGACTCAATATACCAAACCAAACCACTGTAACTTATTTCAAGGGATTTGACATGAAAGGATTTTAATCTAAACGCTGTGTGCGAAATGAACATTATGTGTACAGCACACCTGAAATGTAACATTTCCAGAAAGTAAAAACAACGTCAAAAGTCAACACAGGAACATAGAATTAAGTTTTTCACAGGATACTCCTCACAAAAGAATGACAAAAGTACATGTTTGCAATAGAGCTGAGTTAAGCTTTTAGTTCAGAAAATATTCAATGATATCTCATAAATCTAAATTAACTGCACTAAAGTAACAGCTTTTGTAACTGAATCATGTTTGTTCCGTCATCCAGAGAGGAACAGAATATCGAACTACCTGACGAAGGTTGCTATGCCACAGGGATGATCTTTGCTGATAAAGACCAATCACAGCTAACTAAAGATGCATTTACATCCATAGCAACGACCTATAACCTCCAGGTAAATATTACTATTTGTCAAGTAAGGTGAGTATTTAGACCTAAAACTTGATTTCAGATTAAACTTAATTAAATGCTTATGTGTTGGATCCTATAACTTAATTACTTTCTTTTACGATAAATGATTTTAACTACTCCAAAGCATTTAGGCAAGTATGATAAAATTGAATTGTTGCTCTGTTGATTTAATGATTTAAATGATGAAAATAGAAGTAGCATATTTCCCATGCCACTAACCTCAAGACCTGATGTAATACACATTGTACAAATATGTATAACATCACTAGCTAAAACCCTGTATTTAATGTCCGAAATATTGGAATAATTAACTACTAATGAATTCTGTCAGCAATCTTGAAACACCACAATATTAGGTCTTAATGAGTGAAATGGCACCATATTCTGGAGAATACTTAAGTTTCCAAATTGTCTAAGCTACTAAATTGAACTGACTCTAGTGGAGACTAAGAATGTTTTTGTTTATTACATAAATTTTCGTGTATACATTTTGTACAGATGATAAATCGGGGAGGGGTGATTCTTTAAAAAAAACTTGTTTATAATTTGTTTACTTTTGACCAGTAGTTTTTACCTGTATTTACATATTTGATAGATTCTGGCCTGGAGGGACGTACCCATAGACAACTCAATAATAGGAAGGGTTGCGAAGACAACAGAGCCGTTCATTCTACAGGTAAGGTCAAAGTTCCTTAGCTTGTCCCATTAGTTTTCATTTGCCATGCTTGATTTTCCTCCATGACAACGATTAACCTAAATTGAATCATACATTTTGGGACTTTTAAAAAAAAAATGATCGTGGCCATGTTTATTGATACAATACAAAGTAGATATACTTTGTTATACTGTGAAGATATTTAAAATGTACCTGTGTAGGATGTTTCAGAGTCTATTTCATTAAAATGTTGCGTTCACTAGTTTGGACAAAAAATTATTTCCAGTGCTGTTTTTGACAATAAATATAGTAACAGGTACATGTATATACTATAAACATACCTGTTTTAGTGCAGTCATATTTTAATGTAACATATTTATCCAGCAAGAAACGTAAGAGGGCTAGATAACATATAATCTTTGATAAATAGCCTTTGTTATCACTTTTGCTAAACTGCAGTAGATATGGGTGGGCTTATTACCAGGCATGGGCTTATTGCTGGATGTATAAGTTATAGTAGTCGATGACGTTATGGTCAGTGTATTAGCACGGTTATGATTTTGAGGGAAATTTACAAACACTTTAGAGATTCGGAAAAAGGAGGTGTATTAATTAGCAATAAAAAATAGATATTCCTCCAGAAAGGAAACCAAAAGCTGTTTAATTTAAGACATAGTTAACTAATAAAAATAGGTACATTTACAGTATACACAGTACACTAAAATAGGGTTTAGTTACGGTATAAATCTATATATAGATATATAGAATAAAAACATAAATTTTTCAGATCGTCCGCTAGGCCTTTCTGCCTTCTAGGGCTTCTTCAAGCAGATTATAGATATATATATGTTTATAAATAAATACAAAATGTATATACAATGTATGTTTACAGTATACACAGTACACTAAAATAGGGTTTAGTTATGGTATAAATCTTTATATAGATATATATATATATATATATGTATGTAAATAAATACATAATGTATATACAATGTATGTTTACCGTATACACAGTACACTAAAATAGGGTTTAAATATGGTATAAATCTTTATATTGATATATATATATGTATGTAAATAAATACAAAATGTATATACAATGTATGTTTACAGTATACACAGTACACTAAAATAGGGTTTAAATACAGTATAAATCTTTATATTGATATATATATGTATGTAAATAAATACAAAATGTATATACAATGTATGTTTACAGTATACACAGTACACTAAAATATGGATTAAATACAGTATAAATCTTTATATAGATATATATATGTATGTAAATAAATACAAAATGGATATACAATGTATATATGTTGTCCACTAAAATAGGTATGTTTACAGTAACTAATGTACTCTACCTCTAATAAGTCGGGGAGATGGGGCTTGTCTATATTGTACTATGAACTGCACTCATAATATTATTCCAAAATTTGACGTTATATGCAGAAAGTTTCCTGTATGTTGACCATTAATTGTGCCCTCTGTACAATTCTGCAATGTTGAATCTTCTCACCCACACGTATATAATCAGCACTTTAATCATACATTATGTCAAAGGAATCTGTCATTTGCAATTAATTCAAACAAACGTGATCCTCTGTTAATTAAGGTCACATGTATGCTGTATATAGCCTCATTTTCATGCCAGTGGTATTTTTTTTACCGTACATATTACCACGAATTCCTTAATTGAACATAACAGTAAAAAATTTGTTATGAAGTATTAATGTGTTTATATACATAATCTCAAAACTATGAATTTAAAAATTCAAATACCAAAGTTTTCCTGCATAAAATTTCGATCAGTGTGCTTGAAAATAAATGAATTGAATTTTATTTTAAATAAAGTGATTCTAAAAAAGGTACATGTAGAAAATAGTAATTTTGTTTTGTGTGTTGATCTCCGGAATGTTTCTGTGCGGGTGTGTGCCAATGGTGAATATATATCATGGTGTAACTAACATTTCCTATCTCTTTCATCTTTCATTTTGTTAAGGTATTGTGTCATCAAACTTATAAAAAAATCTTTAAATCAAATATAACAAAAAATTCTATGCCAAGAAAAAATTACAATGTACATGACCAAGGTCTTTTTCTAATTTGACCCCGGGAATGTTCGTTTTATGCACTTCATAATTATTATAATGCACTGCTGGAATTTATTCTGTTGTATAATGCTATATATAACAATGTATTTTATAATGACATTTTAAAAGAATTCTATGAAATATGCCACCATGTTGCCATATATTTGTATAGAACTTTGGTGTAGCTTGTCATTAAATCCCAATCTTCATTAGATTACTTCCCAGAATGTTTACATATGTAATTTTCCCCAATTTTTGTTGTATTAGTGTGTGTGTTTTTTTTGTTGGTATGGCGAATACGCCAGCATTTTTCCTGGAGGATTTCACATATTTTCCAGAGATGCCTCGAACCTTTTATGATTGAAAGGTCTGCAGTCGGGGAGAGATGAAATTTCCGACCCCGAGGCGGCCCATAATTCTCAATCATGTGATTAGATCACCACTACCTGCCCTTGAAAGTCACGTGACTGAAATGTTCTATAAATAGGTTTGTCTAATACAGCAAGTATTGACTTCATCAAGCTCTTCTCTACTGTTGGAGGGACTCGTGTGAATATTGTAGATGATTTTCTGTTTCTGTGAAGTTCAAAGCAAACAAACAAAATCAGCATTGACCTTCACATTCTCAAATGACCTTGGTTCACCGCAAGTGTGTGATTTAATTTTCTGAAAGTGAAAACTGCACCTTAGATTTACATGTGCTATTTATTTAGATTGTAAAACATTGATTTCCATGCGACTTTTAATCAAATGGAAACAGTTACATATGGCCCCAGGCTTGTTTAATTTTGAGTTTAAAACCAGGTATGTCTGCTACATTTAAATAATGTTATACATGTATCAACATAAATTTTCCCTGTTGAAAAACAGACACTGAAGTTTGATGTTTGCAGAATAATCTCATTTTCTTTGACTTTATGTTCTTCATAAAAACAATTCATTTCACTTTGAGTACTCTAAAGCTATAAATGTTGATTTACTATTTCGTACACTTAGTCTGGTAGACACACTTTCAGTGGTTACTTCTTCAATATAAAGAACAGTTTCACCTGTCATACTTTGTGCTATTGTTCTCTCCGAGTCATTAATTTGATAAATATTCATTTATTATTTGCCAAAAGCCAAAATCCAATAGACGAATAGAAAGGACATAGCTTCGGAAATGTTTTGTAAAATTGTTTAATATGTAGATTGGGTGTAGTTTTCACTGTTGCTGAAATTTTAAATTGTCTTGCCATAATGGATGCATGTGCTTTGTTTTGCGATACACACGATTTGTCCTACTCCCGTATACCTGGTACATATGTACATATACCTGGTTTATCTTCCCTGTTGACTTTGAACATATACTGTACCTGTTACACAATCATTTTAACCATTTAAATATTCTCCAAATAATTTTCTTAATTGCATAATAGCAAGAACTATTACGCCATTACCTAAAATAAAAAATCGTTAGCAATAAATTTATTTTTTTGTTTTTTTGGTAAATTCAAGTTTCGCAGAATTAAACAGATGACAATGGAGTAAATTATCATCTAAATCTTAAAATTTTATGTGAAGTAATTTTCTAAATGAATGAGTTACTTTGTGTCAAGTTGAGACACTGTTTTTACACACACAAGTCCTTGAAATCATTGAGTTAAGTGTTAACATGTCTGTTCAATATCAACATGTCTGGCTTGTGATCATCAGCATCTCGTCCCTTCTATCGAAGCTTCCCCAAATCACTCAAGAGGGCTGGAGACATGCATCCCGTATAAGTAGAAAATTAGGTGCAATTCAGATGGTTACTGCCATGGATACTGTTAGTATACAAAGTCTACTGCCATGTATACTGTTAGTATACGAAGTCTACCGCCATGGATACTGTTAGTATACGAAGTCTATGGCCATGGATACTGTTAGTATATGAAGTCTACTGCCATGGATACTGTTAGTATACGAAGTCTACCGCCATGGATACTGTTAGTATACGAAGTCTATGGCCATGGATACTGTTAGTATACAAAGTCTACCGCCATGTATACTGTTAGTATATGAAGTCTACCGCCATGGATACTGTTAGTATACGAAGTCTACCGCCATGGATACTGTTGGTATACAAAGTCTACCGCCATGGATACTGTTAGTATATGAAGTCTATGGCCATGGATACTGTTAGTATACAAAGTCTGCCGCCATGGATACTGTTAGTATACGAAGTCTACCGCCATGGATACTGTTGGTATACAAAGTCTACCGCCATGGATACTGTTAGTATACGAAGTCTACCGCAATGGATACTGTTAGTATACGAAGTCTACCGCCATGGATACTGTTAATATACGAAGTCTACCGCCATGGATACTGTTAGTATATGAAGTCTACCGCCATGGATACTGTTAGTATACGAAGTCTACCGCCATGGATACTGTTGGTATACAAAGTCTACCGCCATGGATACTGTTAGTATACGAAGTCTATGGCCATGGATACTGTTAGTATACAAAGTCTGCCGCCATGTATACTGTTAGTATATGAAGTCTACCGCCATGGATACTGTTAGTATACGAAGTCTACCGCAATGGATACTGTTAGTATACGAAGTCTACCGCCATGGATACTGTTGGTATACAAAGTCTACCGCCATGGATACTGTTAGTATACAAAGTCTGCCGCCATGGATACTGTTAGTATACAAAGTCTACCGCCATGGATACTGTTAGTATACAAAGTCCCTACTAATAGCTCATCAATGTATTCCAACAGAGCGTAGACAGCAGTCATATCGTATAATAAGCAGAATTGAATTAAGATTTGTGTCGACGTGGTTGACTCAACTCACCCATTGAGTTGAAACATGTCAACATAAGTCTGAATTAAAGGTAAAATTCACCGATACTTCTCAAAAACATTGGTGTTCCTACGTACATACAAACGCACTCAGATGTGGAAATATTTCAATTTTTATCCCTATTAAAATAAAAGGCACTATTTTAAAGAAATGTTGTACAATAAAACCCTATTCAGCAATCACCTGATTAGCTCCCGATTGTCAAATCTCAAATTAAACATATGCACCATATTCAAAATTCTCCATGTCCATCAACAATAGTGATCACCAGTGTTGATTTGTCAGGACAATGGCTCTCAGTAAGCTACATGTATCCTGGTGTAAGGTCTTAGGCAAGCATTAAAGCTATTTCATGATTGATATTTTTTGTAAGATTGTGTAACAGGTACATTGTGTTTGGAATGTGTATTGGAGTTAAAAGAAACTGTTTCTAAGGTGATGTGTTGCTTTGAACTTCACAACAGAAACCATTAATGCAAGCTTATATATCATCTTTGTATGTGTAATATCAACATGCTTTTAAGAAAAAAATATAGCATAGTTCAAACAACCAAAATATACAAAACTTACCATAAAGTGTTGATGATTTCCGTTTGAAAATAAGAGATGGTTGAATTGAGAACGTTTTTTGTATAATCATTATCAACAAGATTATCAGAAATACCTTTGCTTCTGTAGGTGTGGTAAATAACAGAATTTTTCTTCTTCTTTAGGTGTTTGTGACTGGCAGTGACGACATTGAGGAGTTTAAGCGACAGGTAAGTTACGTTTTCAAAATATGAGATAAATTACAAGTACATGACAAGACGTTGCATGGACCTCTCATCAAATTTAGTCTATATTTACCCTGTGATATGTTGATATCGGGTTATAAACCGAATTTGATCTTCAGGTTCAAAGGTCACACTTTACAACTTTTGAAGTAAAACGCTTGTTTTGTAAGGTATATCATGAAATCCTCAATTTTGTTTATATTTACACTATAGTATGGTAACATCAATTCTACACCCAAACTTATTTCAGTGGTTACAGGGTCAAAGTTAACTTTATCACCATGTGAGAGAGGGATAACTCTGTGAGCCACCACTCACTTTATTTGTTTCAGTTTTTTTTTTTTTAGATCTAGCGACACATTTTGAGGTATTTTAGGGTCTTGTAATTGTCATGATAATTTGTATACGAACAGGTGTACCTGCTGAGAAAGTACAGCTCCCATCACATCCCTGAGCAGGACTTGAGGTATTTCATCTGTACCCTGTCTACAGATGTCATTGTGTACAAGGTATGTATACTCTCAAATGCCATCCTCATGTTTTGACTCCAAATACAAACAGAAATTTGTTACTCGATGGTCTCGACCCAAGCTTTGGGTTCTTCAGGTAACCACATCACATAGTGATTCCTGGTGCCCAAGGGCCCAACATATAGACACTGCTTAGTTATTCCATCCCATCAGGGCCTCATTTACAGATACAAGCTTAAGATGTACCATATAATTACTAAACCCATTGGTATCTCACTCACAAACACCACTCAGTGCCTCATCCCATTGGTGCCCTACCCAATGGCTAACCCCATTGGTGCCTCACTCCAAGACACCACTCAGTGACTCATCCAATTTGTGCCTCACTCGCAGACACCACTCAATGATTCGCCCCATTGGTGCCCCACTCAGTGACCAACCCCATTGGTGCCCAACCCAATGGCTAACCCCATTGGTGCCTCACTCACAAACACCACTCAGTGACTCATCCCATTGGTGCCCAACCCAATGGCTAACCCCATTGGTGCCTCACTCACAAACACCACTCAGTGACTCATCCCATTGGTGCCCAACCCAATGGCTAACCCCATTGGTGCCTCACTCCAAGACACCACTTAGTGACTCATTCCATTGATGCCCCACCCAATGGCTAACCCCATTGGTGCCTCACTCCAAGACACCACTTAGTGACTTATCCAATTGGTGCCCCAATTACCTTCACCACTCTGTGACTCATCCCATTTGTGCATCACTCGCAGACACCACTCAATGACTCGCCCCANGCACCCAGTGACTTGCCCAACAGGGCTAAGCACTCATACAGCACTCAGTGACTCATCCCATCAGGGCCTCACTCATGGACACCACTCAGCGACTCACCCCATCAGAGCCCTACTCAAAGACACCACTTAGTGACAAACCTCATCAAGGTTTAACTCACAGACACCAATCAGTGACTCATACTACATGTATTAGGGCCCACTCATAGACATTACTCGGGGATTTGCTCCATCTATGTTTGACTTACAGACACTAGATACTCACTTATCGGGCCCAACTTACAGACACTATGGAGGCCCCAAGCTGAATGTTCTCATTAATTACTTCACTGTTTTTTCAAGGCAAGTGTTAATGGTGAAGGATTTTTTCCCTCACTTCAGTAATTCTTTTCTATGGAAAAATTTGAGTTTAAGAATTTCCTTTAGTAAAAAGGAAATATTTGTGAAAGTGGGACCAGTGACCCCATCCTATCAGGGTCCGATTCATAGAAACTCCTGGTGACTTCAGTCCCATTCATAGAAACCCCTGATGACTTCTTCTAGTTGGGGCCTGTTCGCTGATAAAGCTTAACTTTTGTAGTCCCACTCACAGAAACCTCTCCCACCACTTCCGCCACCCCTGATATCATATGTGAATAAATAAGACTTGTAAGATTAAAAATTATATCATTTACGAAAAACAAGATTAGCAGGGTAACAATATTAGGTGAGCCAGTAGATTGTTGGTGTTATGTCATTTATAGGATTTTTTTTTAAAAGTTCAAGGTGTTTTATTGTGTTGCTAAATACAAGTGTGTTGATGCTATTTATGTCTTTGCTGATGCAAAACATTTGAATGAGCCTGTATGTGGTAAGCTTGATAAAAGTTAAAGGGGAATGATAGTTATTTATGGACACTTAATTACTGTACACATGACCTTGAATGAAATGAGATCTATGCTAGTGTTCACGTGGGGAAGTAGTGTAAGAGGGCTCCAGGGCTGCCCTTAGGTTTACACTTGTAGCATGCACATTGTATTTCCATTGAAAGTATGATAAGCTACAGGGGAAGATAAATAGAAATACTTTATGCAGACTATTAAAATAATTATATTCAATAATACACAAGGCATGATGAGAGATTCAAAATATTTATTTGATGACAACAGTAAGTATTATTTGTAAATTTTTAGAAGTTTTAAGAAAACAACAACACAATTTTAAAAGTTTTGTAAAGATCTGGTGAAGCTACCAAGGCTTGAAGAATTTGGCTCGGGCAACATAGCATGCCACATTACAGATGTACAGTGTATGGACAGTGATTTCATTAAATAAATATTTGTAGACATTGCAGACCAATCCAATCATAGGCGCCAATTTATCAATAAAATATTACCTCAAAACTAATTACACTGGAGTATAGGAAGCAGAGCTCGGACCATCCCCCAGCTCTGATCAAAACTAACACGATAAGAGTACATGTATAGCTGACACTGACAACAGGAGTATACATGTGTTAGCCTGTATGTGTTAATTACTGAATACATATATAAATATATACATACACATGTACAGGCTGTTTTGTCTGTTACTACAGTTGCTGAATCAATATTCTGAAAAATAAAAAGGCATATTTTGGAAATTTATTTGAGTAGTATGTTTCAATAATGCTGAATTTGTAACTAAGTTTTTTCTTTCGCTATCAATCGTTGTGGATGTTGCAATTGATAAGCAGCAAGTATGCAGGATACTCAGGGTGAAAAAAGGTGTGTTTATAGACTGTGAAGTAGGAAATTCAGCTGTTTTGAATAATTTAAATAACATATTATAAATTTTTATAATATTTTAAAGGTGTTATAACATTTGAGTTTTGACAGGACCATACACGATTATTCATTACATAAGTTGGCAGGAATATGTGTTTATAGATTCCAAAAATAGCTTAAATGTTTGGCTTCTGACCAGACATAAATTTACTTAATTAAGGACCTTATTTTTACATGGCACAGATAACTAATTTAAGCATTCAATGAATAAAATGTGCAATTTTTTCTTTCATCAGCATCTATTTTATTCAACGCATGTATAATTTATGATACAAATTCACTTAAAAAAGGTTTTCTGTGAAAATGGAACAAATGTTGAGCAGTTTTAAGTCAATAAATCATTGATTATCCTCCTTAGATATTTTGTGTTATATCATATTAGATTTAAACCATTAGGAGTAGGGCAAGTCTAAACGAACATACAGGTGATTTAAGAGTACATTTACATATATATAAGGGATCCTCGTACCAATGCCAAAAAACAAACAAAGAATGAAAGACATCAGTGAGTTAGTGCCCTTGCTTCCTCACTAGATGGCACTGCCACCAACTAAGTCCTACAACTCCAATGCGGACAGTGGCGTCGCCTGCCAATGCAACAGACTCAAAAAGATATTTTTTTATTTCATATTTTTGATCAAATGATATGAACTATAATACGTAATTATTAGTTCTTATTAACACTTAGATAGTTGCATTATAAAATGTTGATTAGATAATGTTTATTAGATTAAGGAAAGTAATTGAAATGCCCCATAAAGTTGCATTAAAAAATGTTGATTATATAATGTTTGATAGATTAACGAAAGTAATTGAAATGCCCCATGATTCGAAACATGTTTTTGTTTGAAACAGTATTGTAATTATTTACTGTTAAAAACTGAAACTTGTTTAATACATTAATTAAATGTTAAAACATTTTCACCTCATGTTATAAATTGTTAAAAGAAATTAAAAATGAATCAATGACACTTTTCATTTAATTCATAAATTTTATATGCTTCAGATATTTATAGAATGTGTTTTATTTGATTCAATACTTGCAATTCTACAGTATGCATTAATTTTGTAAGGCCAACTTGGTTGCAGCGCCATCTGAAAGGGCGTTAACTCACTGTTGTCTCTCATTGGAAATTGTTTTTCAGGTCATAATGATAGGTTTGATAAATCATTTCTGAAGAGAAAATTGACCTTGTGGGCCTTTTATGGAAAATCATAAAATAGTGTTCTGAATGTAAAAAAATAGTGGGGCTAGATCGGGTTTCTAACACTGGACTTCAGACTATTATACCATCGCTCTAACTGACTGAGCTACTGAGTCTATGGAAGAGGCAGGGCCAAACTGTGATACAGTTATATCCAAACTGAATTAAAGGGCAGGCTACTGTGTATACAAAAACCTGAGGATTAAGGATCCCTGTACCACTGTAGGAAACTAGGAAACTGTAGGAAACTGTTTTTTGGTATGGCTATGGCTTTGATAAATCGTTTCTAAAAAAAAACAACTTGGGGGACTTTTATGAGAAATAATAAAGATGAAATAAACAAAATATAATCAACAGCAGTGTTTTGAGTATAAAAAAATGGCGGGCTAAATCGGAATTTGAACCCTGGACTTCAGATTGATATACTATCTGATAGCTCTAACCTATTGAGCGACCTGGTCAACAGAAGTGTCTTTGCCCAACTGTGCTACAGTTATATGCGAACAGAAGTAAAGGGGAGATTACTGTATATGTAGAAAAAAAAACAGTGCAGCGGGTTAGCGATCCTTATATAAATTGTAATGTTCTGGTCACAAAAGTAATCTCCTTACAATTCCATATAAAACATGAAATGTCACTTTTAAATATTTTATCCATTTTAAATTACTGATGGATTTTTGTTACTGAAAACTACTAGTTTATTTTAAAGAAACTGAATATAAAAAGAAAGATTTGAAATGAAAGTCTTAAATCTGTGATATTCATGGCTACAGGTAGATTAGATGTGATATAATGTGCAAGTATTTTGGTTTTCTTTAATGTACACAACGATCAAAGGCTTACATCACCTTAGTTTACACTCTGGATTTAAAAAAAATAAAAGCAAGGGAATTAGAGAATTAGAGTGTAATTCAAGATATGTAATTTGCATTTTAAAGAAGATACTGGAATTTGTCCATAAAAATACCCTTTGATCATTTTGTACCAATTTTTGAAAAGAAAAGTATACATTGTCGATTGTTTATTTAACCAAAGTGGCAACAGAATCTATCAGGAAGGACAGATACATATTTAAGTACATACTGTAAATACAATGGTATATATTTCATTAGAAAGTATATATTGAAGATTTGGCAGATTAATATTGAGAAATTCCATACTATGTCCATTAAAAGCTATTCAACATGGCCGCTATACCTTGCTGGAACTTGTGCTCTGATGTGAAAACATGGCAACCATGTCTTGTTGTATCAGTGATCCTTAAGCTTCACATAGCACTGATTTTACCTGTAAATAGAGTTATTCAAGTTAGATTTAGACAGATCTTATCATAATATGCATACAAATTCTTTGAAGTAATCCTTTCAATTGATGTTAGTCTATGTTACCTTGCATTTTTAATTTAGTGCTTTATAAGGTCAAAGCTAAACGTAGAAAGTTAGTGTTAGAAATGACAGGGAAAAAGGGAGATAATTGCCTAAGATAGGCTCAGAATGATTATGAGCTTGATGCTCCATAGAAGAAAACCTACAAACCCTTTTCTATGACCTTCTGAAAGCTTTCTGATAAATATGTCAACAATTTACCTAAATGATGGCATGGTCATGCTTGTAACATTTATTAACATTTAATATGATAATTAGATGGGTTTTTTTGTAAACAAACGATTCTCTTCAACAATTCAGAAAGGACTTTGTTTATTATCTTTATTTCTCCAATTTAACAAGCTAGTTTTGTTTGTTCCTGAGTTCTCCAATTTAATTTGGGTATTGATCACAAGACCAAGATAGCTGCCAGTTGGTCATCTTTGAATTTCATAGTATAGTTTGTTGTCATTCCATCTCAAAAAGCAAAGATTGTATTAGCAGGTTCTTCCAGTTTCATAGACTTGAACTGTTTTAGCTTTAAGCTGCTTGATTAGCAGAAAATTATGGCTTCCAGAAATCAGAAATCTCTAATTCTATATGTTTTTCATTACTCTTCTAGTGAAAAGGTCAAATGACAATCTCACTTTAAAAGGACAATCCAAAATGCAAGAGTATAAAGTTTTGATGAAAAATTATCACAAGATGTATTTTCTGCTGACATGACTATCTTTCCAAAAAAAAATGTTCATATTTGTATATTGTTATGGGAAACTTCCTTTTCTAGCACACTTACAGTCAATTCATGCAACAGCATGCATGCTTCAGGAGCATACATCTATTTCTATACTCATTAGACCCTAGTGTACCCTGAACTACCAGGTATACATTATGTACATGCATTTGGGTGATTTACGTTCAGCATATTTATCGCATTATTATCATATTTGTATCCAAACGATCTGATGATATTTTCAGGGCCTGTTCACAACCTCACAACTGTGGACCTACTTCAAGGATCTGGAAGACCCAGATTTTGAGACGCACATTGCTCTGATTCACAGCCGATTTTCCACCAACACATTTCCCAGCTGGGAGAGAGCGCACCCTCAGAGGTAGGGGAGACAACTCTTACAATAAAGATTGACGTGTTTCCTATGAAATATCTCAGCTGGATTGGTTTATGTGCTGAACTATGTTTTGGTCAGCACAAAGAAAGTTAAAGATTTCAATCATTAACAACATATGGATGACAATAACAGGATACATATACTCTATAGTATTCACATACAGCATATTTAGATGTCAAGATATGTTTAAAATTGCAAAAGTAATTCCTGGTAATTTTTCCTTGGCCAACAAAGACAATTTATAGACTGTAACAAACTTTACAGAAAAGAATTGCTGAGAATTGATCAATTCATATTTTCAACCTGAACAAAATTAAGTTTTGAGAAAGATATGCTATTATCAAGCTCGTGTCAAATAAGAAGTTGAATGTCTTTACAGGTACCTGGCCCACAATGGGGAGATCAATACCCTACGAGGGAACAACAATCTGATGCGTGCACGTGAGGGGGTGATGAGTAGCGATGTATACGGGAACCAGCTACGCGACCTGTACCCCGTCGTGGAGGAGGGTATGTCAGACTCCGGCTGTGTAGACAATGTGCTGGAGTTCCTGTGTATGGCTGGTGGACGCCAGCTCCCAGAGGTGAGGGGGGAGGAAAACTTTCAAATATACCCCGTATTTGAAGTAGGAAAACATGCTCAATGATTACACTGTAATAGAACCTTCTTATCTTGACAAATTTAAAAAAAAAAAAAAGATGAAACTAGACATCATTTGCTTGACAAGATTTTCCAAAATATTTGAAATTTTACTTGTATATTTCTAAAATTAGCTGTAATTTCTCGGATGTTGTTAGAAAAATCTTATTCTCTAACATGGTTTAATTGACTAAAATTCATGTTGAAAAGATATGGTTTGAATACAAAGTAAACCTGATATATCATATAGACTGTCTATTCTTTGGGTCCTAGTTCTGCTGATAGATTTTGATATTAAAAACCCATGGAAAACTTATGCATGTGATGATTTTTGAGACATAGCCTGAAATAAGTGTCGTGATGGAACAAATACGAATATTGTTTTGCAGGCGGTGATGACCATGGTACCGGAGGCCTGGCAGAATGACAAGACCATGTCCGCAGATAAGAAGGCATTCTATCGGTGGAGCGCCTTTGCTATGGAACCCTGGGATGGACCAGGTCAGTCGTCCTTATACTATATGGGGACAACCTGCAGATTACTTTAACCTGAACAAAAATATATTTTCAATTCACAATTATGCAGTTATTACAGTACTTATAGAACTGAAAACTACACGTCTACAGCCAGGATATTATTAGATTTGTATGTTAGGTGGTCGGGTGGTGCAGTGGACATCACACTTGCACCAAGACAGGTGGATTTCAGTTCCTGATAGGATGAGGAAATGTATTGGGTCACCTGCACATCCACGTGTGTTTTCTCTGGGCAATTAAGTTTCCTCCCACATAAGTCTTTCTGCATGTGTCCACATTGGCCGACAATTGTGATTAATATAAGGTTGAAGAACTAGTTTCATAATTGTTGTAAATAACGACAGTTTGATGTTTTTGTGTTGGTCAAAGATGATTTCAGATATTTTTTGTGTAGTTATTTACAAAACCAAATCTCAGTCAATTTGCTTATTTTATTCCTAACTAAAATCTACAAATTATTAGGCAGTGTGAATATAAATTGACGTATTTAACATTTCTGAGGTGAGATATGAAACTGTTTCCAGCCCTTCTGACATTCTCCGATGGGAGGTACATTGGAGCCATCTTGGACAGGAATGGTCTGCGACCTTCACGTTTCTATGTGACCAAATCTAACCACATGTATATGGCTAGTGAGGTGGGCGTGGTGGACATCCCTCACGCAGACATCATACAGAAGGTGGGTTACATGTTCAAACTGTCGCAGTGTAATGTGCTATTAAGACATATTAACCAACTTGTATCATACATTCCCAACCTTAAAATTTTCTTGAACTTTGTGATTTACCATTGATTTAATATTGCTTGATTTTCCACAACAGAGGTGTTTCAAGTAGGGTCATATATGGCAAGTACAATATTATTTTTCCAAGCCATAAAAGGATTAAGCTTGGCTGACAAATCTCGACATGTAATTTCAAGAACGATAAATGACCTAAATGCCATCGAATGTGGATACGGCACACACATTTTTGCTTAAACTATAAAAGAATTACTTTGTCACAATGGACAGGAAAGAAGGCACATCATATCATCTTAACAACAATGCACAAAGGAATACTTTCACTGGACATGGATGTTCTGTTAACCCACTCACCCCTCAAGTCACATTTGAACCTTACCAAATCAAAGTCTGGGCAAGTCCAGTCTAAAAATGTAAGGGTGAATGAGTTAAACATTGTATAGTGTATCAATTTCTCACCAGAAATTATTATTTTCACAGGGTCGTCTGAAGCCTGGCAGGATGTTGCTTGTAGACACACATCAGAAAGTGTTTATGAAGGATGAGGTTCTCAAGACGCAGATTGCAACCCTCCGGCCCAACCAGAAATGGCTGACTGAAGAGGTAGGTCACATTTCTGACAGTTCTTGTATTCTTTGATACATCTCAATCTGGCTGATAAACCAAGGTCGGTTCTTGTCTACATATTATCAATAGAAATTGACTAACTGTGAAAAGTACTTATTTTAGCAGACTCAACTTTTAGTGTATAATCGAACAAAAGATTAGCGTGCTGCCAAATTTGTGCACTCACAATATATGCAACAGAAAACTATATACAGACACTTCAATTAGCGCAACCATAATTTAGCACATTATTCGAAGCGTGAAAAGGGTTAAATTGGAATACCTCTAAAATATATGTATGTTCATAATATTCAAAAGATCATTTTTGTCATAATACATTTTAATGCTCATCAGAATGATAACTTGTATAGCATTATGAAGAGTTGTTTTCCCAACAAGTCCTGAAGAATCTCTGTCCCTGTTCTGTAGACAATGTCCCTGAGTGAGCTCCACCGAGCACATGTTCCCAATGGGGACGTGAAGCAGCTCCGACCAGAGGTGGAGGAGTACAGTCAAGGAGGGTTCCTGGAGAAGGACAGACGCCTTTCCCTGTATGGTTACACCGTGGAGGCCATCAACTTACTGGTACTACCCATGGTCAAGGACAAGTGAGTAGGACTTACAATATATTTTTTTATTTAAGCAAAATTCCTCCTTAACTTTGTGTTGGGTTTGTTTTTGTAGCTTTATGCAGTGAAAGAACATCGTGTGTAGATACCCATTAATATTTTTGCAGTTTGTCAATTTTTCTTGGAGTTATGGCCCTTGAAATCTTTTGTTCAAGAAACATTATAAGCGCAACTCCTCCTTAAAAGTATGTTGAATTTTTTGGTAACTTGGCATAGTGAAAGTACATCATATGTAAATGTGCACAAAAAAGAATTTGTGATTCGACCCAGAGATCGGAAGCTCCCGGGTTCCAATCTGTCAAGCACTTGCTGATTGCTTGGAATGGGATTACCCCAATCCGGGGTTTTAATAGTGATGTCTTCGGGGGCAAAGTCTTAGAAAAAGTAGGGAGGAATGTAGCAGAAATGGACTGGGATGATTGTCGGCGACCAGTTGCTCAATAGGTAGAGCATCCATCTTGAGTTTGGTTCAAACCCCAGTTTTGCCTTACATTTCTCTTTCTCCTGATGTGTACATCTATGTGAAAATTGCTATTACAGGAAGGAAGCGCTGGGCTCTATGGGAAATGATGCTCCACTGGCGTGTCTGTCCCAATACAACCCTCTGATCTTTGACTACTTCAAACAACTGTTTGCCCAGGTCACCAACCCACCCATAGACCCCTTTAGGGAGAAAATTGTCATGTCTCTGGTAAGTCACGCTGAACAAAAACATGTGCATGTATGGAAATAAACCTATTGAAAAAATCAGTTTTTAATAAGGTAATTGATTGGTAACTCTTGATATTGTATGTTGTAAAAAACCACAATACTTTTTAAAAACAAGAATAATATCACAATAATACTGTAATGTAAACTTCAGGAATGCCCCATAGGACCCGAGGCTAACATCCTGGACCCGTCATCGGAGCAATGTAAACGACTCTGGCTAGACCAGCCCATACTGTCCCTACAGGATATGGAGGTGCTCAAATATACCACCCACAAGGGATGGAAGGTAGGTTGTCTCTGTCTCTGTCTCTCTCTTAGCGTGATAAATATAGTCAGTATAAGTATTCTACATTGGATTTTTTGCAAAACTCTTTTATATAGTAAGTGGAATTTTCATTGACTGAATGCTTTTCCTTTAACTGTGTTGGCTATGAAAAAGAGCACCTCCACCATTTCTACGTCTTTAAAGCTGTAAAGAATCTTCATTTCTATTGAATACTAAATGTATAGGTATTTCTAAATTGAGCAAATATTATTATTGTTTGTTAAAACATGTCCTGCTATATAAGACAGGTCAGTATTCTCATGCACACGATTTCTTAAAAGGGAGCTAACTCTGATTTAATCTTCCTCATGTGTTTCCAGACAAAGCAGATAGACATCACATTCCCCGTGAGTGAGGGGCCGGAGGGAGTGGTCCCTGCTCTACACAGGGTGTGTCTGGAGGCTGCTGAGGCTGCAGAGGAATACCAATTAATCTGTCTGACAGACCGCCAAATTGGCAAGGACCGTATACCTATACCGTAAGTATACCAAGTTCAGATAGGATTTTATACCATTTTAATTTTAATTTTGTTATTAGTTAAGTTTAAGTTAAGTTGATGGTTTTGCTTAAGGATTTCTTTTACCAATGCCAAAATCTGTAATAAAGTATTGGAAACTGTTTTTCCCTGGCATGACTATAGCTTTGATAAATCACAAAAATAATGAAGAAATATAACAAAATGGAATCAACAATAGTGTTCTGAATGTAAAAATTGAATGGGGCTAGACTGGGATTCGAACTCAGAACTTCAGAATGTTACACTATTTCTTTAACCATATATTCAAACGTAAGTTAAGGGGAGGTTTTTGCATAATCGGAAAAAAATATGGTGCAGTGGGACAGGGATCCTTAATGATTCTTTTCTCTAATCCGTTGTTAACTATATGTGTTTGATTTCCTGTATCTGACGTACAATAATTAATTGTCAGGTCCCTGTTGACCGTGGGAGCTGTCCATCACCACCTGATTGACAAGAAGCTCCGCCTGAAGGTGGGACTCGTGCTGGAGACGGGCGAGGCCAGGTCAGGAACATTGCCATATTGTAGTAAAAGGGAATCTGGTCGAACAATTATATTTAATTATTCCATTTATTACTTCGAAATTCGGGGAAAGTATCCTGACAGTCTTTTAGTACTATTTAAAATCACTTAATATGTAGTATAAATCTATGTTGAATGGATGTATTTGAAGCATTTCGAACAAAACAAAACTACATGTGATAAGTTTAATCTCTATTTCAACTGAAGTTAACCCAAACTCTTATAGTCCAGGAAATCTGGTTGTGTAAGGTAAACAGTGCAGGACATATAGCCAAAAATAGTCACTGGAGTTAAGAGGATATATGGATAAACACCAGTTAAATAATGAACCAGATTCTATTATCCTGTGAATAAACTGTTTGAATTTGTATCATACTTTCATCTGTGACTGGGATAATGCATCAATAACCTGAAGAAGCTTGACAAATGTGAATGCTAGCAAATTTAGAGCTTGTATTAATTATATGTAATTATATATGTTTGACCTCCACAGGGAGGTACACCACATTTGTACGTTACTGGGTTACGGTGTAGACGCGATCTGCCCCTACCTGGTGTTTGAGACGATCGCCCGCCTGAGGGAGGACGGACTGTTGAACCCACCTCTGCCAGATGACGTAGTCTACGCAAACTATCGCGATGCTGTGGCTCGGGGCATCTCCAAGGTCATGGCCAAGATGGGCATATCTACCCTACACAGTTACAAGGTACGAACGATATACCTCTACCCTACACAGTTACAAGGTACGAACGATATACCTCTACCCTACACAGTTACAAGGTACGAACCATATACCTCTACCCTACACAGTTACAAGGTAGGAACCTGGCTAACTGTCCTCCATTTTGAGCACATGTCTTTACTTACTTGCTGTCTACGTGGTTCCCTTTATGAAGTGACGACCAGTTATAAGGGGATTCCTGTCTTTGAGTGACTTTCTATCTAAGAACCTTAACACCTAAGCTATCATCAATATAAGGGGTCCCTGTCCCACTTCAGTGTGCGTTTTGAATTTCCTATATACAGTAACCTCCCCTTAATTTCCTTGTAGATATAACTGTAGCACTGTTTGGCTAGGCCACTTCTGTTGACCAGGTAGCTCAGCGCCTTAGCGTAATAATCTGAAGTATCGGGTTCATATTATTTCTCATAGTTCTGCAACGTATGGTTTTCTTTCGAAAATTATTTATACAAGCTTAAGTCATTTCCATCACTCCGTTACAGTTTTTGGCAGTGGTACAGGGATCCTTCAATTACCATCTGTTTCTTACTTGTCTTAAGTGGCAACCTATTAATGAATAATATATACTTAATTGATGTCTGTATAAAGTGTTTTAAGAGAGCTGCTGTCTTGACTCATAGTATTGTATTTTAAAGAGGCCGCCTGGCTAGTTTTTGAAATGGATACTGATGTTTCTTAACATTTTGAGATTTCAATAGTAACTGTCAGCCAAATGGCTGATTTACTCATTCACCCTTAAAAGTTCCTTATGGACTTTTCCAACCTTTGAATTAGAAGAGTTCAAATGTGTCTTCAGGGCTGAATGCCTTAAATAACATTTTAGCATACAAATATTTCATTTGTATTCAAGCCCTGTTACCTTGTATTAACAGGTTAATTGCAATTTTCTTCTAATTAAATTTGTAGGGAGCCCAGATCTTTGAGGCAGTAGGTCTACACAAGGAGGTAGTGGACCTGTGCTTCAAAGGAACTGCCTCCCTTATAGGAGGAGTCGCCTTCAAGGAACTCGCTTCTGAGGTAAGCAGATTATTGATAACTCTTTAAGGCAAAGGATGATGCGAGCTAATCACTTGATTCTTTACAATAGGGCAATAATTGAATACATGTAATTAAAAATATGAAATTGTAAAAAGATATATCTGCTTGATAAATACATTTTCATTGCATTTTCGAGGACTTAAGTTTGATGTTAGCATTAAAAATAAAGGCAAAGAAAGAAATGACATTGAAAAAAAATCATTGATAATTATCTAAATTGTGATGAAGAGTATTACAAGGATGTTTATGTTTATGACACTTATTGTTTAAAAAAGCCTCAATGGCTCAATGTAACTCTGACATGAATCACAAATTTGATGTGTAGACATATATGTAGGACACCAGCAATGCTACTGACTTGTGACTTTGTACCTACACAGACACTCAACAGACATCAGCAGGCTTACTCAGACAGGGAATGTGATGACGCCCTTGTCATGAACCCTGGTTTCTACCACTGGAGGGACGGGGGAGAGAAACACATCAATGACCCTCAGTCCATAGCTAACCTTCAGGTAATGTAAAATAATTTGATGACCCTCTATGATGAACATCCAAAATGTGATGTTCAGTGTTTACAGATGTTTAGCAAAACTTAATTTAATAGAGTGAAACATCCATTTCAGAACAAGTTGGAACTGACAATAAGGATTATGGAAGCATATTTAAAATAAATATCATATTTCTTCTAACAGTATGGTTTGTTTTGCAGTATGAATGGAGGACATTAGTAAATGAATAATATAAGATGACTTTGAACGTGGGAGTTTGTGCCAGAAAATTTGTTTCAAATGAAAGTTAAATGAAAACAAAAATTCTGCACTTGAAAATTCGTAGTTCTCAAATGTTATCATACATGTATTATTGTTATACAATGTTATCACCTGAACAGGATGCTGCGAAAAATAATAACAAGAATGCTTACGCCAAGTTTACCGAGTCGTCGTGGGACAGTGTGAGGAAGTGCACACTGCGCGGCCAGCTGGATTTTGTCTATGCCAAGGAGCCTCTGGACGTGTCTGAGGTTGAGGAGGCTGCTAACATCGTCAAACGCTTCTGTACAGGTAAATGGGACATTTCTTGACTTATTCTTGTATCTTAATGGAGAATAAAGAAATGAACAAAGTTATTTACTTGACAGCAATCATTACCGTATATTCTTTTCCTTAGAAATAATACGATATAAAATTTCAATTAACCTGCTAAAATATTTCTGAGATGTGCTATGTTAAAGAAGCTAATATATCTTACTCTATATATAAACAATACAGAACTTTTTAAGATTATTCATCCTTGCTGTCCTAGTTAGAAAACAATAAATTTTGATCACCTGTTGATTCAGGTAATCAATTTTAATTTGTCAGTGGTATATAAGGTAATTAATGTACCGGTATTGTCTTTTTAATTGGCCAGGTGCTATGAGCTTTGGGAGCCTGTCTATCGAGGCTCACTCCACTCTAGCTGTAGCCATGAACCGGGTAGGAGGGAAGTCTAACACAGGAGAAGGGGGAGAGAACTCTGACCGTTACACCCATAACGAGGACCCCATGTTTAACAAGAGGTCAAGTATCAAACAGGTGGCATCTGGTCGGTTTGGAGTCACCAGTTCGTATCTGTCACACGCTGATGAGCTACAAATCAAGATGGCCCAGGGAGCGAAGCCAGGGGAAGGAGGCGAATTACCAGGTCACAAGGTACGCAACTGTTGGTAATGTGTACCTAGCCTTGCATAGACATCCTGTATTCTGATTGGTCATTTTAAATTTTTAGTACCGTAACAGTCAGTCCGTGAATAGTGTCAAATTAATGTAATCATTGCAGAAAAATAATGAGTGATCAACATTGTAATTATTAAGAATGAACAAAGATGTGTTTGGTATTCTCTTCTCAGCGGTGGACAGGGTGTTAATATACATTGTCACCCTTTATTTTCAAATGAAAAATTTGTATGCCACGTATGATTTTGACATACTTTCAGTTTGATTATAATTAGTGTTTTTTGATGGAGCTTTAACCTTAAGTTATACATTACTTAATTACTTAAGCTGTAGGGCACTGTGTTAATATTCATGAATACATGAATAACTTCTTGTTCATATAGATTGAACAGTTATATGACAAGCAGCCATTTTGGAAAGAATCCAGAGAATGTTTAAATCATCATTACTGCATAAATATTTAATGTGTTTCGTTCCAGGTGTCAAAGGATATTGCCAAGACACGTCACTGTGTCCCCGGGGTGGGGCTCATCAGCCCTCCCCCTCATCATGACATTTACTCCATTGAGGATCTTGCAGAGGTAATTATGAGTCCAATCAGATATAGAGGATGGTATCTGTATGCTTATAATTCAATGTGAATAAAACAAATTTCAAATTTACCATGCTCAAATGTGTAATAGCCCCAAAAAAATAATTTGCATCACATAGAAATTATTACACATAGTCCTATTTTGTGTTAAATACCTTTGCATAGTTTGTTATTGATATCACAGTAGTATACAGAAAATACTCTAGTGGGATAGATGTAAACATTAATATATGTTATCTTTCTGATACAACAACAACAAAACAACTGTACACAATTTTTATTTTTTACCAACTTCCAAAAATAATTTATGTATTGTTCAAAATCAGGGTTAAGAAAGAGGAGCTATTCTTTTAGAGTCATACACTACAAGATTTCCTTAAAATCAGGTGTCATAGAGACTGGTCTCTAGAAACCGTCCCGATGAGAGTACATATATATATTTATATTTATCACATATTGTACTGTGTCATCCAGTGAATATACCCATGTCATGTTTTTTGTATCAGCCCTGTGATTGGTTATAATTAAGTTTCAATTGTTTCAATTATGACGTCACAGACTTAGGCACTGGAGTCAAAATGGCGGCTACGTATTTACATTTCAAGGTTGCATGCAAATTGTCATTTTACACGAATAAATGCCACAAATCTTGATTATGTGATAAAAATGATCTTACACTCGTTTCATTTCATATGAAATTTATGAAATCGGAACTAATGTAAGATCCTATATTTATTTAAGAAGTATGACATGTATAACCTATACTTATTTCGGGTTCATTCTGTAGGAATATTCCTTTTACATGTGCCATTATAATACCCATTTTGGTTGTGGTTACAGTTGATCTATGACCTCAAGTGTGCCAATCCCCTAGCCAGAATCAGTGTCAAACTCGTGTCGGAGGTCGGCGTGGGGATCATAGCAGCTGGTGTCGCCAAGGTAACTATCTAATATATGGACATTGTTCACTCTTTTGCACAAATAAAAAAAAAAAAAAAAGATATGCACTTTTCAAGGTGCATAGTTTAAGTGATGTTCTATAGTCTGATGCTGAAGGTCCTCATAATTACCATGTAGTGGTAAATTAGTACCTCTAGTTTGGTTTAGTTTGGGTTAGTATTGTTTAACGCCCTATCAACAGCTTTGAACAGACATACACATTTGAAATGGAGGTATATTTGTAGTCATATACAACAATAAGCATTAAAGCTGTAATGTTAAACAATATTTTCAAGCTCCCCACTCCCAATAAAATGATATTACATCATGACAATAGAAAAAAATCATGGGATTTTTTTGGTAAAATTTGAGGCAAGAGTTTTAGTGAATAAAAATGAAATAATATTTTAGAGGTTTTGTTGGTTCAATAAAATAAACTTGATGATTCAAGATAGAGTATATTTATTTTCATAAAAATTGAGGTAAGAGTTTTAGGAAATATCAATGAAACAATATTTGAGAGGTTTTCTTGGTTCAATAATCTAAACTTGATGATTTATGATCTGTAATTTATTCCCAGGGTCATGCTGAGCACATCACTATATCTGGACATGATGGTGGTACCGGAGCCAGCAGCTGGACCGGGATAAAGAACGCCGGGCTACCATGGGAACTAGGCATCTCAGAGACACATCAAGTACTTGTCATGAATGACCTTAGATCAAGAGTGGTCCTCCAGGCTGATGGTCAAATTAGGACAGGTATATATATCTGTAACACAGTTGACTTTTAGCTCACCTGCCCTTTGGAGTTGTGGCCCTTGAAACTTTAAATTTTGGCAAGTGCAGGATTATACGTATATCATTGTGAGCTCAATCACAATTCCTCTACTTTAGTTAGGTTAAATCCTTTCACAGGGATTGTGACTGATGCTAATGCTATTGGTTTTCTTTGGTATTAACTCGACTTGAAACATCTTTCTATGATATACATGTATTTATATGAGAGTTGTGGTTGTGTGTGTTACAGGGCGGGATGTTTTGATTGCTGCCATGATGGGGGCTGATGAGTTCGGGTTTAGTACCGCCCCTCTTATAGCCATGGGCTGTACCATGATGAGGAAATGTCATCTCAACACCTGTCCAGTCGGCATAGCAACACAGGTAAGCTGTTCATTGTCCAGTCGGCATAGCAACACAGGTAAGCTGTTCATTGTCCAGTCGGCATAGCAACACAGGTAAGCTGCTCATTGTCCAGTCGGCATAGCAACACCGGTAAGCTATTCATTGTCCACTCGGCATAGCAACACAGGTAAGCTGTTCATTGTACAGTCGGCATAGCAACACAGGTAAGCTATTCATCGTCCTGTCGGCATAGCAACACAGGTAAGCTGTTCATTGTCCAGTCGGCATAGCAACACAGGTAAGCTATTCATTGTCCATTCGGCATAGCAACACAGGTAAGCTGTTCATTGTACAGTCGGCATAGCAACACAGGTAAGCTATTCATCATCCTGTCGGCATAGCAACACAGGTAAGCTGTTCATTGTCCAGTCGGCATAGCAACACAGGTAAGTCGTTCACTGCCAGATGGACATGGATAGAATTCAGTTGCGCACAAATTCTGTATAATATATGCTCATAGCAGAATTAATCATAGGACTTCTTATTAAAGGAAAAATAACTCATATGTCAATTAGACTGATAAAATAGCTAAAAAATGGTCAGTGTAATAGTACCCCGTACTTACATTAAATACGATATATTTTAATTATAACTATATTCTAAATTGCTAGTACATGTACCATTTTCAGAAAAATATTTATTGGAGTTTAGAAATATAGGCATTAAGATGTGCAAATACTGTCTTGAGGGCCATAGAGATATCTACTATGTACAATCCTTTAAAATATTATATTCACTATATTGTTCCGTAAATAATGCTTTGATTATATGGATTGAAATAATTCAATAATATCATTGAAATATACATTTCCCTTTTCAATATTAGGATCCTGTGCTGAGAAAGAAATTTGCTGGAAAACCTGAATATGTTGTCAACTACCTATTCTTCATTGCAGAAGAGGTAAGACTAATGTTCAAATCTATCCTGAATTAAAAGCTCCTGGCTGTAAAAGCATGGTGTTTTTTTTAAATGGTTAGCACACCTGACCTAGGTAAATTGATAATCAAAAACTCCTTTTCCTGCATAGCAGGTACTTAATAATGTTTCCTAAAACTCTATATCCAACTTCATGCGTGGTAAAAAATGAAATGTTCAAACTGTCTAAAAAGGGTTCAATGACAATAATGAAATACTTTTGTGTAACTGAAAGACTAATATAGGTTTTCTTTCCAATAGATCCGACAGATTATGGCTAAGATGGGTTTTAGGAAGTTCCAGGAACTGGTTGGATGCACAGACAGATTAGCGTTCAACCCTGACCCGGAGAATCCCAAAGCCAGTCTTCTGGACTACCAGGCCATGCTAACCAACGCGTTACACATGCGCCCGGATACCAATATTGTGGGCGGTAGCGTTCCTCAGGAATTCGATCTGGAGAAACGACTGGTATGTGTTCGTGTAGAATCACTCACCTGGACCTTTGTGATATTTATTCTTTTGTGTTGTTATACATTGGATTGGGTTTGTGTCCTATAAGTTAACATGAATGTTCATGTCAAAATTTTAAAGAAGTTATTACCCAGGTGGCATAGGACTAGTAGTTAGCGCCTGATAAGGCAGCTCCTGCGAATTCCTCAAAATTGTATTGATTAATGTACATATGCTAATTGTATAAATTGTATATCTATGTACTGTTAAGCGCTTTAGAGTGGCTTATGTTAGCTAGATAGGGCGCTAAATCAAATGTTGTATAAAATGTTGTATATTATTACCTGTGTAGAAAATTATAGGTACATGCGTTTCATTTATCAACAGACCTTATTGTTTAAACTTATCTGAACCAATGCACCTTTATATATATATATAGTGTAAATTACAATGAAATATTGAGATAACACACCAGGTGAAATTGTTGAAAAAATAATGATAGATGATAATGATAAATAAAACATTGATACATGTGTAAGTGTCTTGGGTAGTGTAGACCTAAATGTGTAGATCTGTCAATATGTTCCCTGTTACCTTGACCCTAATTGTCAGTAACAAGTCTTTTATCTGATAAACATTTCTGTTTTGTTCCTCAGGACTACAAAGTGCTGGAGCAGGCACGGAAGGTCATCGAGGGTCAACAGAAACAGGTGGTCATAGATATGGACATCAGTAACGAGGACCGGACATTTGGGGCCACTCTCAGCTACTATGTGTCCCTGTAAGGCAGCTCTATATGTCCTTCATATATAAACCTTTCATGGAACATGGTTATCGTGAGGAAGCAAATATTCCTGTGTCCATGGGTCATCGGTAGTTCATGTTCTATAATGCATGTACCACATTAGAAGTACTTTGTAAAACAAAACGATTTACAGAATTATATCAACCCTTTACATATGGGTATCTAAAACTGGATTGTATGACAGGAATTATCAATACGACTCTTGTTTACCATAACTTTGTCCTGAACATATCTCATACATTCTGTCTCTCACATTATCAAATTTTGTACGGAGATAATTCTTTAGATGTTGGAAGATACTGAAATCCAATCGTGTGTGCTCCATTATATACGGAGTTATGGTCCTTTGTCCGGGGGGCACGTCTCATATACTCTGTAAGTAACTATAATGCCGAGTGTTGCATATTCCGTCTTATCGTATTGCAGAGTTATCTGCTCTTGTGAGCAGGTATTGATTGTTACATCATTTGTTTGTGAGAGTAACGTCATAAACTTTTGAGAAAACAACGTTATTTTCTCACACAAACTAATGATAACAATCAATACCTGCTCACAAGAGCAGATAACTCTGCAATACGAAAAGACAGAATACATGTACTGAAATCAAGTCTTGTAGACCACAATATACAGAGATGTGTGTGCTGCTCCAGATATACATACTAATTGTACCATTACCATTAATTATTACATCATTGTTCCTCTGTTACAGGAAGACGGTGGAGGAGGGACTCCCCGACCAGAGTATCATCATCAACCTGAAGGGGTCAGGGGGTCAGAGCTTCTGTGCCTTCCTAGCCAAGGGCATCCATGTGACCTTGGAGGGTGATGCTAACGATTACGTCGGCAAGGTACAGGATATTTGTCAGCATTGTTTCTTGGCATCAGCGGACATAATTGTGTGATTATATTAAAAAATGGTGTAAAATTTGTGAGAATATGGATGTCAAGTAATCATACATTGGTGATCTATTTACATATATATAGTTTGGACCTCAGCTAAGGGCCTTGGTTTTCTAGGCCTATCTATGGCAGGATGCATTATGGTATGGCATTGTCTGGCTGGCTGGGTTTCAATATTATTTTGTATTTTGTGCAGAGCACATTGTGACCTCTTAGCTTTTTCATTTACGTACACTAAATTTGCTTAAAATTTTGTATCTTGATAAGTGTCATGTGCTGATATAGGGTCTCATGCCCCAGAGTATTTGGAATATGGGCAAAAAAAGGAAATACTAAATTGGCAGAAAGTGCACCTTGTCTTATTCCTTTGTTTCATTGCAAGTGATGGGCAATGTATATTGTTATGTTCCTTTTATGCTCTTTTTAATATAATATCAAGTGATTTAACAGACCTAAGCTTGCTAGTGAACTGAAATAAATTTACCTAAATATAAACAGCGGATGATTATATAATTGTCTGATTGACCTGTTTTGTGACCCTAGGGTTTGTCTGGTGGAGAGATCGTGATCTACCCTCCCAAGGACATGTCTCCATCATTCCGAACCGAGGAAAACATCATTGTTGGCAACGTTGTCCTGTATGGAGCTACGTCAGGGAAGGCTTTCCTGTGTGGGCAGACAGCTGAGCGGTTCTGTGTCCGTAACTCCGGAGTCACAGCCGTCTGTGAGGTGTGTGTCTGGTCCTTACTGAAACAATATGGAGGACAATACTGCCTTTAACAAACAGATAAAGTGTTAAAGTATACCGTGAAACTTTCGACCAGTCAAATATTTGCCCATCGCCAGTAACATCTATGTTCATTCAGTATAATTTTGCCCTTTACATTTAATTACTGTATAGGGTATGCTATGTACTAATTAATATTCACTGTTGTAATAATTTGGAAAGGCGAAAGTTAAACTGCAGTGAAATTTTCCCCTTATACAATAAATATAACATTATAAAAAAAGAATTTTAAAATTTTCCTTGAGTCTAATTGTGAAGTTATATCAAATTGTCACAGCCTTTTACAATCGTTTTAAAAGACCAAAAATTAATGATATGCTCAGCCGTATCAGTGACCTATCTTCTGACACCATGGTTTATCTGTTTGTGACTTGTACACTGTCTTGGTTACTTGACAGGGCTGTGGAGACCATGGCTGTGAGTACATGACCGGGGGCAGAGTTGTGGTTCTTGGATTAACAGGGCGGAATTTCGCTGCAGGAATGTCTGGTGGCATAGCCTATGTATATGACAAGTAAGTTCAGACTGTCTAGCTGTAGCAATAGAAGCTGATCATTTCAATATTTTCCTCTGCCTTACAATTTACAACAAATATCAAATGTTACTTGTTCAATAATAGTGTTCTGAGTGTTCCTAGACCAGGATTCGAACCCAGGTCCTCAAATTGTTATACTACCGCACTAACAGACTTAGCGAATTTGTCAACAGAAGAATAGTGGCCCAACTATGCTACAGGTACATCCAAAACAAAATTAAGGGGAGGTAACTCTATATAGGAAAAAACACAGTGCAGTGGGACAGCGATCCTTATGTAAAACAATTTTTTTTTTTTTCCTTTTTTTTTTACAGCAAGGAAGAATTGTTTTATTGACATAAGTATCTATGTGACAAAGTTTCCTATGGATTTTTTACTATGATATGATGGTCCTCACCAACAACCAACAATTTAATTTACAAGTATCTGTCTTGTGTCAGACTTAAGATGTTCCACCAGCGATGCAACCAAGAATCTGTCGCCCTGGAGCCCCTTGACCTTCCCGAGGATCTTACATTTGTCCAGGACCTCCTGACAGAGTTCCAGCAGAAGACAGGATCCCGTCTGGCCCAAAGTATCCTTGACAATTGGCAGGAAGAGAAGAAACACTTTGTTAAGGTGCCTATCATTGTCTTAGTCTGTAATTCCTCTCACTAATGTAGGCAAGTGACTTAGTATTGAGATGGGTGGCAAACAGCATTGCAATAGTTATGTATAGTTATCCTCTGTCCCACTTGTATGAAAAATCATAAAATCGTGGAAAGTCTTGCACAGTTCAAAGTCAATACAAATTCTCTGATAGAAAAAGTCCTCATACTTATTCCATACTATGAAGGACTAGATTTGAATTATCTCAAATTTAGGGAATCTTTTATAGGTTGTATATACTAATTTTATTCTGTCGAATCAAGATTAAAATTAGGTTGCAGACTTAGTATATTATATATATACCTTCATGTGGAAAAAAGGAAAGATAGATTATTATGTTTTCTTTTGTACAAACTTAACTGGTGCTATTTTCATCAGTTTTTGTGTTAGCATTAAAACAATCGTGTTTGTGTACTCAATAGGAGATATAAGACTAGTTTGTTGGACTTTTTTGATAGGTGTTCCCCCATGAGTATAAACGGGCCCTGCTGGAGGCGGAGAATGAGAAGGCAGCCGTACACAATGAGGCTGTAAACGGGGTCGTGAATGGCGACAGCAATGACGACGGGGAGGATCTCATCATCAACGGCAGGGAGGAAAAAGTAAGGGGGGCTACCCCCACACAAATGGGGGGGGGGGGGGAATAATTAGATCAATATATGAAAATGTGGTGGGGATTTGGGGTAGGGATCGGGGGGATTATTAATAATATATGGATGGATGTGTTTTAAAATAATAGTTAACAATTGTATAGTGAACCCCAGGAAATAAATAGTTTTGAGTGCTTTCTTTCCCCCATATCTTAATTTCTAAAATATCCCTTACTTCAGAGTATTTAAAGAAAGGCTAAACTGAGAGATGATAATGTTATTTTATGTTTTCCATCCACGATTGCATTGTTCTCTATATTTAAACTTAAATGATTTACACTTTCTAGTCAAGAAATGTTAAGATAAATTTGATTCTCTGTCACAAGATCTGATTAACCAGAAACCCCTGTGTAATACCATAAGATGTTTATGATATAGATATGAAAGATATACAAAATATGTACAGTCCCCTGAGATGTATTTGTTTTAACGACTGTGTGTATGTGACCTTCAGGCGAAGACCAAGGTGGCCAAGATTGTAGATATAGAGGAAGCTATACCAGATGCTGTGCGTAACCAGAAAAACCTTGAAAAGCTGGATAAACTAAGGTAAATATTACTTTTGGCCAAACTGTCTCTGACATAAACTACTGTAATACTAAGAGGAAAATCTATTTATTTGAGTTTTAATGCTATTTTAGAAGTTTTCAGCCTCACTATTGACTGCTAGTTGATATATTATGAAGGTACCAACTGATGTTGTTCCAGTCTATTTCGCTACTTCAACGAAATGTAATAACCTAGAAAGAGTTTGATATCCCACCAAGTGACATTGTTCTGACAATGGGCAAACAGTGTTGTCAAGGAAGAAGCCATAGTAAAGGATGAATAAATGAAAAAAAAATAGATCATCCCATCTAGGATAAACAACATACTGTATAATTGTTAATATTCGAGTGGGATTTAATTTTGCTATATTCGCGGTCACCAGAGATAGTGCGAAATTAACTACCCAGTGAATATAATTACATTGAACTATGATATCCAAAACATTCACAAAACACTAGTTAGTGCTATATTTTTACCTAGCCATGGTGTGCGAAATTTAATCCCGAAACTATTAGCCCCGCTTAATCGTAGAAAGATACCATCACAGAAAACAAATATGTAACTTTACTTTTATTGGCTATTTTTACAAGAGTGCTTGATTCTGCACGTAAGGTTTAGATATTTTTATGTTTGAACCAAACTTGGATGTTTACAGAGGTTTTGTGAAGTACAACCGTGCCACGTACCAGTACCGCGACGTGAAGTCGCGCCAGAAGGATTGGCAGGAGATTTACAATCATGGCGTTGTGAAGGAGGGATTACAGAAGCAGGCCGCTCGCTGTATGGACTGTGGAGTGCCCTTCTGCCAGTCCGACAATGGCTGTCCACTCAGCAACATTATACCCAAGTGGAATGACCTTGTCTTCAAGGTCAGTTTCATGTATCATATATTCATGATATGTAAAACGTAACATTTTCTTCATTAGTAGTTATCTCCTGCTATACTGTTTAATATTGACCCTTATTTTGTGGACAGTTGCTGAGCTTCCATTCCTTACTACTGTTTCAACTAGACCCATTTGAAAGTAGAACAGTTAACAACCTATCACTTTCTTTGGGAAATGGAGGGGCATTGTCTTACTGTTCCATAAAAACATTAGTTTATTTGTATATCTTGCGGAATCCCTGATCTTTGCTGTAAACTGCTACTGTATACTGGGGATTGTTCGCCTCAGATTAATTGGAGGGCGAATCTATCATGACAGCGAATTTTGATACACAACATGCATTATATAGCCATTAGAAACTACATGTGAAGGGCGAATTTTTTATTGAAAAAGGGCAAAAAAATTGACTGAGCAAAAAATGCCCGATATACAGTATGATAAGGGATCATGTCTGCCATATTTCTTCTGTATATATACATGTGTTGTTTTCACAGAACCAATGGAAGGAGGCCCTGGACCAACTGTTACAGACAAACAACTTCCCCGAGTTTACTGGCCGTGTGTGTCCTGCTCCTTGTGAGGTACGTTATGTGTTGAGTAAAATGTAATTACCTTACCTGTCTAAAGCAAGTTATTCAAATGTCTGTGTAGACTCAATAACTTCATATATACATTAATCGGTGTGATTATAAAAATTGTCTATTCCAAGCAAGAAATATCTTGGGAAAGGTAGTCGTACTAGTATAACAATACAGAAAACCACAGCTGAGTTTTGAATCAGTAGAAGTAGCTTCATTTTCATTCGTAATGTGACCATGATAGTTCTAATTTTTACAAAGTCTTGGGCCATCAGAAAGGCACTACATTTGCTTCACAAAAATGTTTTAAGTTGAGCATCAATTAATTTACACGGTCGATCGACTCCCAATAAAGTAATATAGATTTGACCAATGTGTATTGACCAATGTGTACTAATTAAATCCAATAGGGTGCATGTGTGTTGGGGATCAACTCTCCAGCAGTGACCATTAAGAACATCGAGTGTTCTATCATTGACCACGGCTTTGAGCAGGGCTGGATAAAGCCAGAGCCTCCTCTGCACAGGACAGGCAAGAAGGTGGCCGTTGTTGGCAGCGGGCCCTCAGGAATGGCAGCCGCGGCCCAACTCAACAAGGTAAATATCCAACATGCACAAATGTTTACTAGGGAAGATACCCGATTAAAAATCACTTGAAAATTGTAATAATCTCTCTAAATAATGTTTATTTAGTGATAAGATTTTACTGATGTTTTGTTTTGAAGTGTTCACACAAAAATCTGGGTGCAGTGTTACTTATTTTGTGTCATGATCTGTATGTGTTCAATGCAATAATTGGTACTTGTGAAATTCCATTCTGATATTTTCACCCAGATTCTGGAGCCTGTGCAAGTCTATGTGTTGACGTAATGCACAAAAAAGTAGTCTGTAGTCATTGAAGGACATTCATACATCATAATGGTGTATGCTGATAGTTCAGTACAGCCAAATTATGAAGGAACAAAACAAAAAAGTATATTTTAAATGTCATATTTGATTTTTATTGATGAATTCATAGGTTTAAATACACAAAATTTCCTGATAAATTGTCGCGGAAGAATATTGTCTAGACACGGTGCTCATGCTCAGCCACAAGCCTACAGCAGTCATCTTTTTACTAGCTCAAGTTGACCACTAATTTCGAGGTTCAATATCTTCTGGAATGTGAAGCTGCAGTTATTGAATGTCGAATATATGTCCCTTATGTGCATAAGCACAGGCAATGTTAATCTAATCTTACTTTTATGGGCAAATGAAACCGGTAACATTTGGTAGTTACATTGAGTCCAACTTCAGTAGAAATTAAAATATTTGAAAATTCAGACAGTGAATATGTAGCAAATACCATGACAGTTTTAATTTTTTTGTTAAATTTTCCTTTAAACTTTGTCCTATGATGATTGATGATTATTTCACTGATGGTCCATTTTCACTGTAGGCTGGTCACTTGGTGACGGTGTATGAGAGGAATGACCGGATCGGGGGTCTGATGAGGTATGGCATCCCCACCATGAAACTCAGCAAGGAGGTATGTTGAAGGGCTAACATACTGCAGTCTCCTATGCCAGTACTTGTCTGTTGACAAGTTCATATTAATTTGAAATCCAACCTGCAGTCAGTCAAACAAGGTTAATCGACACACTTTGGTTTCTGTAATATTCAGAATAACACATTTCAAGAACAAAAATACGAACAATATTCAGAAATGAAATTTGTTTTTAACTATTTACAACTCGAAATCATCTTTCTAAACTGTTTGGAAAAAAGTTCGCTCTATCAGAATAAGGATTTTTATCATGTATCAAAGTGAGGAATTCCAGGTAGTAGAAAGTTAAAGGAATGGCAGTTATTTCTACATTGCTGTAGCACTGGTAACATAGTCACTAGAGTTGAGATTGTGTACATCGGACAAACAGTAATTATGTCATTTTCCTGTTGTTCCCTGAATTGTACCAATTATTGACTTGTCCCTTTGTTGTATCTGTTAAAATACAGGTGTTTTACCTGTAACTTGTCTATATTATACATATACCTGAGATTAATTTGTATTGTAGGTTGTCCAGCGGCGTGTTGACCTCATGGCTGAGGAGGGAGTGGAGTTTATAACCGGGGTGGAGGTGGGCAAGGACCTCCCATCTACACAGCTAGTACAGGACTATGATGCAGTAGTGCTAACTCTGGGGGCCACACACCCTAGGGATCTACCTATTCCTGGTAAGTACTCACTGTGGGGGCCACGCACCCTAGGGGTCTACCTATACCTGGTAAGTACTCACTCTGGGGGCCACGCACCCTAGGGATCTACCTATTCCTGGTAAATACTGTCTCTGGGGGCCACACACCCTAGGGATCTACCTATACCTGGTAAGTACTCACTCTGGGGGCCACGCACCCTAGGAATCTACCTATTCATGGTAAGTACTGTCTGTGGGGGCCACACACCCTAGGGATCTACCTATTCCTGGTAAGTACTCACTCTGGGGGCCACACACCCTAGGGATCTACCTATCCCTGGTAAGTATTGTCTCTGGGGGCCACACACCCTAGGGATCTACCTATACCTGGTAAGTACTCACTCTGGGGTCACACACCCTAGGGATCTACCTATACCTGGTAAGTACCGTCTGTGGAGACCACACACCCTAGGGATCTACCTATTCCTGGTAAATACTGTTTGTGGGGGCCACACACCCTAGAGATCTACCTATTCCTGGTAAGCACTGTCTCTGGGGGCCACACACCCTAGATATCTACCTATTCCTGGTAAGTACTGTCTCTAGGGGCAACACTCTAGGGACATACTGGTAAGTCCTGTATTTTGGGGCCACAAACCCTAGGGACCTTCTTATACTTGGTAAGCCACAACTCTTGGGCCCACACACCATAGGGATCTGTATCGGTGTCTGGTTATTGATGCCTTTGTGGGCACGCACACCCAGGGAACCTTCCAATACCTTGTTAGTCTTATCTCTGTGGACCAGATAAACCTAGGGACCTACCAACCTAGTGATGTTTTTTGTGCCACATTCCCTAGGGGCCTATCCAATCTTGCAAGTGCTGTTTCTGGTGGTCTCACACCCTTAGGGACCTAGCCATGCTTGGTAAGTGCTGCCTCTTGAGGCAACCCCCCCCTACAAACCTGGCCATATTTGGTAAGTACTTTTTTGGGGTACTTTACATCTTAGGAACCTGACAATACCTGTAAACCTCTAGCTATATGGGCATACACCATCATCAAGTTGCTCAACAGGCTGAACAAACAATACAAGTAAGACGTATGCCGAAATCCAGGAATGCAATTTTTGTGATCATAATGAATTGATCTGTTTTACAGGTCGTCAGCTGAATGGCATTCATTTTGCAATGAGTTTCCTCGAAACTTGGCAGAAGAAACAAGAAGGAAACGACCTAGACTTCCTAAAGTTCCATGCTAAGGACAAAGATGTTGTGATCATAGGAGGTGGGGACACAGGATGTGACTGTATAGCCACCTCTCTCCGACATGTAAGTCTGAGGGGAGGGGGGACATGAGGTGTGACAGTATAGCCACCTCTCTCCGACATGTAAGTCTGGGGGGAGGGGGGCCACAGGGTGTGACTGTATAGCCACCTCTCTCTGACATGTCAGTCTGAGGGAAGGGGGACATAGGGTGTGACTGTATAGCCACCTCTCTCCGACATGTATGTCTGAGGGATGAGGGACATAGGGAGTGACTGTATAGCAACTTCCCTCTTACATGTAAGTCTGAGGGATGGGGGACATAGGGTGTGACAGTATAGCCACCTCTCTCCGACATGTAAGTCTGGGGGGAGGGGGGCCACAGGGTGTGACTGTATAGCCACCTCTCTCAGACATGTAAGGCTGAGGGGAGGGGGGACACAGGCTGTGACTGTATAGCCACCTCTCTCCGACATGTAAGTCTGAGGGGGGGGGGACATAGGGTGTGACTGTATAGCCACCTCTCTCCGACATTTAAGTCTGAGGGGAGGGGGGACACAGGGTGTGACTGTATAGCCTCCTCTCTCTGACATGTAAGTCTGAGGGAAGGGGGACATAGGGTGTGACTGTATAGCCACCTCTCTCCGAAATGTAAGTCTGAGGGGAGGGGGGACACAGGGGGTGACTGTATAGCCACCTCTCTCCGACATGTATGTCTGAGGGATGAGGGACATAGGGAGTGACTGTATAGCAACTTCCCTCTTACATGTAAGTCTGAGGGATTTGTGACATAGGGTGTGACAGTATAGCCACCTCTCTCCGACATGTAAGTCTGAGGAGAGGGGGGACATGGGGTGTGACTGTATAGCCACCTCTCTCCGACATTTAAGTCTGAGGGGAGGGGGGACACAGGGTGTGACTGTATAGCCCCCTCTCTCCGACATGTAAGTCTGAGGGGAGGTGGGGTGTGACTGTATAGCCACCTCTCTCCGACATGTATGTCTGAGGGATGAGGGACATAGGGAGTGACTGTATAGCAACTTCCCTCTTACATGTAAGTCTGAGGGATTTGTGACATAGGGTGTGACAGTATAGCCACCTCTCTCAGACATGTAAGTCTGAGGGGAGGGGGGACACAGGATGTGACTGTATAGCCCCCTCTCTCCGACATGTAAGGCTGGGGGGAGGTGGGGTGTGACTGTATAGCCACCTCTCTCCGACATTTAAGTCTGAGGGGAGGGGGGACACAGGGTGTAACTGTATAGCCACCTCTCTCCGACATGTAAGGCTGAGGGGAGGGGGGACACAGGCTGTGACTGTATAGCCACCTCTCTCCGACATGTATGTCTGAGGGATGAGGGACATAGGGAGTGACTGTATAGCAACTTCCCTCTTACATGTAAGTCTGAGGGACGGGGGACATAGGGTGTGACTGTATAGCCACCTCTCTCCGACATGTAAGTCTGAGGGATGAGGGACATAGGGTGTGACTGTATAGCAACTTCCCTCTTACATGTAAGTCTGAGGGATGGGGGACATAGGGTGTGACAGTATAGCCACCTCTCTCCGACATGTAAGTCTGAGGGGAGGGGGGACACAGGGTGTGACTGTATAGCCTCCTCTCTCCGACATGTAAGTCTGAGGTGAAGGGGGACACAGGGTGTGACTGTATAGACACCTCTCTTCGACATGTAAGTCTGAGGGGACGGGGGACATAGGGTGTGACTGTATAGCCTCCTCTCTCCGACATGTAAGTCTGAGGGGAGGGGGACACAGGGTGTGACTGTATAGCCACCTCTCTCGCCGACATGTAAGTCTGAGGGGAGGGGGGACATCGGGTGTGACTGTATAGCCACCTCTCTCCGACATGTAAGTCTGAGGGATGGGGGACATAGGGTGTGACTGTATAGCCACTTCCCTCTGACATGTAAGTCTGAGGGGAGTGGGGACATGGTGTGTGACTGTATAGCCACTTCCCTCTGACATGTAAGTCTGAGGGGAGTGGGGACATGGTGTGTGACTGTATAGCCACTTCCCTCTGACATGTAAGTCTGAGGGGAGGGGGGACATGGGGTGTGACTGTATAGCCCCCTCTCTCCGACATGTAAGTCTGAGGGATGGGGGACATAGGGTGTGACTGTATAGCCACTTCCCTCTGACATGTAAGTCTGAGGGGAGTGGGGACATGGTGTGTGACTGTATAGCCACTTCCCTCTGACATGTAAGTCTGAGGGATGGGGGACATAGGGTGTGACTGTATAGACACTTCCCTCTGACATGTAAGTCTGAGGGGAGGGGGGACATGGTGTGTGACAGTATAGCCACTTCCCCCTGACATGTAAGTCTGAGGGGAGTGGGGACATGGTGTGTGACTGTATAGCCACTTCCCTCTGACATGTAAGTCTGAGGGGAGTGGGGACATGGTGTGTGACTGTATAGCCACTTCCCTCTGACATGTAAGTCTGAGGGGAGGGGGGACATGGGGTGTGACTGTATAGCCACCTCTCTCCGACATGTAAGTCTGAGGGATGGGGGACATAGGGTGTGACTGTATAGCCCCCTCTCTCCGACATGTAAGTCTGAGGGATGGGGGACATAGGGTGTGACTGTATAGCCACCTCTCTCCGACATGTAAGTCTGAGGGGAGGGGGGACACAGGATGTGACTGTATAGCCACCTCTCTCCAACATGTAAGTCTGAGGGATGGGGGACATGGTGTGTGACTGTATAGCCAACTCTCTCCGACATGTAAGTCTGAGGGATGGGGGACATAGGGTGTGACTGTATAGCCACCTCTCTCCGACATGTAAGTCTGAGGGGAGGGGGGACATGGTGTGTGACTTTATAGCCACTTCTTTCTGACATGTAAGTCTGAGGGGAGGGGGAACATGGTGTGTGACTGTATAGCCACTTCACTCTGACATGTAAGTCTGAGGGGAGGGGGGACATGGAATGTGACTGTATAGCCACTTCCCTCTGACATGTAAGTCTGAGGGATGGGGGACGTAGGGTGTGACTGTATAGCAACTTCTCTCTGACATGTAAGTCTGAGGGGAGGGGGGACATGGTGTGTGACTGTAGAGCCACCTCTCTCTGACATGTAAGTCTGAGGGGAAGGCGGACATGGTGTGTGACTGTATAGCCACTTCACTCTGACATGTAAGTCTGAGGGGAGGGGGGACATGGGGTGTGACTTTATAGCCACTTCTCTCTGAGGGGAGGGGGGAAGGGACTTGGGATGTGACTTGATAGCGACCTCCATCTGACAGGTAGGTCTCAGGGGAAGGGAGAAGATATGGTATGGGATTGTCTAGCTACCTCCCCTCATAGGAAAGTCATACGAGGAGAGATTTGTTTTTGTGTTTTACATCCTCAAGTTCATTTGAAGACAATGCAGTTAATGAGGCCACCTGAAGGTGTCATTCCACTCATATGTCATAACCTGGACACAGTAACATGACATTCCAACCTGTCGCATTATTTTACTACAGGCTAGCCAGAGGTGCCTGGGGAGGCACTACTTATTGAAGGGTAGGAAGGAAAGAAAAATGTCCAAGGTTTTGTAATGGGGACAGCTGATCAATTTTTGTTTCACTAATGTACTCTAAGTAGACAGGTGAACTTGGAATAACAAAGGTGGGACATACAAATTCAGCACAGATATTTATCCTTTATATAGCCTGATTTTTTTTGGGCAATGAATACTATGAAAATGACGTAAAACTACAGTCAAGCCTATGTTGAGCAATCACCTATGGGAGATCTTGTAACAATGTATAGATAAATTACATGAATATCAAATTAAGAAGCTACGTTTTGTTTGTGACAGGGTGCCAAGAGCATCACATCTTTTGAGATACTGCCACCACCTCCCCCATCCCGGGCAAATGACAACCCCTGGCCCACCTGGCCACGTGTTTTCAAGATGGACTATGGCCATGAGGAAGTGGAACTCAAGTTTGGACGGGACCCCAGGATATTCAATATTAAGAGCACAGTAAGTATATATTAGTTTCCCAGGAGAGTTCTGTATGTTGTGTGGATATGATCAAAGCAAAACTGAAGATTTACAATGTAAAATCTGTTGGTGAGGTTTCTAATTATACACCCACAACGAAGTTAGGGGGGGTATACTGGAATCACCCTGTCTGAATGTCTGTCTGGATGTCGTCTGCAGTTACTTGTCCGGAAAACTTCTCCTGATGGAGTTATGCCCCTTTGTGCGAAATACTTGTCCATGCAACTCCTGGGGGTATTAGTCAGTCATCCTGGCGACAGCTCTAGTTGCAAGAGTTTTTGTCTCGCCACCACCAAGTAGTGAAAGCGAGACTAAGGTGTTGCTTTTACGGCGGCGTCAACGTTAAGTTTTTGCGTTTCAGTTAGCTTCACTGAAAGTTTAAGTGCTAGACCAACCAAACTTGAACCATAGATGCACCTTAGGTAGTACATCTAATGCTGATGCGGCCTACCTTTCATGGTCCATTGACTTTGTCAGCATCTCCATCAACATTAAATTTTTGCGTTTAAGTTAGTTTCTTTGAAACTATCAGTGCTACACCATCTGAAACTATAAGTGCTACACCAACCAAACTTGACATGTGCATTGATGGTCAAAGCACGGCACAGGTGAGACATATCAATCTGAATGGCTTGTTTATCAGTGCTTTTGGACATCATTATCAGTCAAGTACAGTAGACGGTATATACTGTGAAATCAGATATTTTCGTGGGACCCAAATTTGGTGGTTTTCCGACAAAACACCGTTTCGTGGGTACATGAATTCATGGACTAAGATTACCTGCTCAAACAGAGAACTATTATATATCAAACTTGAAGTTATTTATGGATTTCCTACGAAATCAACAAAATCATATAAACCCCACAAAAACTACTGATTCGCAGTATATGTCTGTAAAGTGTTCTTTGACCTTGTCTATATTTTACAGAACTTTGTGGATGACGGGAAGGGCAACGTGTGTGGTATCAACACCATGTTAGTAGAGTGGAAGAAGGACGACTCCGGCCGCTGGACGATGGCTGATGTACCAGGTACGACTCTCAACTCATTGTCAATGCTCAATGTGTACTTCTGAATAACATGGTAGTGCACGTGGTAGCTGCTGTACAAGGGGTTACGAAAATTCGCTTGAAAAAAAAGCCCCAGCGATTTCATGATATGATAAATAAGTTCCAGGATATCAAATTCATTGAAGCCAAACCTTTTTTGACAACCAATGTTATCAAAGTTAAAATATTCATATTTTAATTATGTTATGTCTGCATGGACATGATGAAGTACTTTTGGAATGATTTTATAACCCTTTTTATTTACTTTTTTTGGTTTTTATACAACCTTATGAACAACTTTTGACTATATAGTAGAACCTTTATGTAATACCTGTTGTTTCAATTGCCACCTCGCCTACCGTCAACATATTTCAATGTCTGTTTTTCATATTTTCTCATATTTCCTTTATATGTTTTTTTCTCAATTTATCCCCAAACTCTTAATAATTCTAAAATTTCTTTGGACAAATGATGACATTATAACAAGGTTTAAGTGTTCTGATTCTCGTTGCATTAAATATTCTTGTATACAGGACTAATAAATACCTGAGGTATCCTTCACAGACTAGGGCTTTAAAAAAAAGGAACCGCACATACGCCATGTTTTTGACCTCTTGCTTCTAATAGTAATCCAATACAATGATAGAATCCCAAGGATTGAAACTTACGATTTGTAAAGCCTTGATGACCTGTTTCTTGATGAAATAGACAGGAAGTGATCTGTGAAGTGTTGATTTTCGTTTTTACATCCCACAGGATCTGAACGGTTGATCAAGTGTGACATTGTTATGTTGGCTATGGGATTCCTGGGGCCGGAGAAAAAGATTGTGGAGGAAATCTCAACCAAACTTGACCCTCGAGGGAACTTTCAGACTCCAAGAAATAAATACAGCACCAGTGTGCCGAAAGTGTATGCAGCTGGAGGTATGTAACTTTAGTCCTCTACTGGTACCACCAGAGGGCGCTGAAGGCTTGCATTCTGTCTCCACGTCAGTCACTTTGTCTCGGACATAATTGTATACGTATACTCTGATGCGAGTTATGGCGCTTCATTCATCTTTGATACTGATGTTTTTCTTGAGGTTGGGGGACTTTTAAAAGTACAATTAAAACAAATGGCCAAAAAAGTAGGTGTATGAACCAGATGACTTAATTTGTGAAATTTACTTGTTATCAGTAATGAATAATAGTTGCATATCTTTTTCAGTTTTCAATATTTTTGATAGTGTGTCATTAATTGAGTGCTATTCATATTGTATACAATATTAGATTTGGAAGATAAAAAAGTTAGTAAGTGTCAGGAGGTCTCTCACCAACTGAAGTTTTTGTAAGTTGGACATGCAAAATTTCTGGCTAAAGATTTAGATAATACAATTATTTTTATGAGTTCAATAAATTATTTGAACTCACAGATAATTTTAGCAATAGGAAACCGTATATAGAATATATACTATAGAATATATAATGATTTAATATTGGTGACTTTTTTTCCTCACACAGACTGTCGACGAGGGCAATCTCTGGTAGTGTGGGCCATCTCTGAGGGCAGGCAGGCTGCTCGTCAGGTCGATCTTGACCTCATGGGTAAGACCTCTCTGGCAGGCCCAGGCGGCATTGTGTACCAGCCAGAGAACTGACCACTGACTGTCCATAGCTGACCACATCACCAACCGTCATTGAATCATCTTTGAACATATCTCGCACATCCTTACACAGATCTCATTCTCTGTACCAACCTGGTTATCATATCTTACGTGATCTCTCTCAACAATGTTTCAATAATCGTACCGTTGGCGTAGGTCATTGTTGAATGTACAGAATAAGCTCCAGCGACATATCGTATAGGTTAGTGCATCTGTTTGAACAAGTGACGAAGAACTGTACGTTATGTGTCTAGGAATTGTAGTGTGATTCACACTGAATGGCAAAAATTCACTTACCATTCTTGGGATATTTCACTAGCACTGGTTCTTGTTCTGGTGTGTAAGTTCAAAAGACAAAGAAGTCTAGTACTTCAAAATGGTCGTCACTGATTGTGCTTCTTTCTTCCAATGCTATTTTTACCTCAAAAGTTTGTGTGCTAGCTTTATTCATACCAAAGCCCATGGCTGATATTTTACAGCAATCTTTACCTAATATATAAAATTTGATAGAATATGCAAATGAAATATCAAAATATTGAAAGAAATGGCTACAATGATAACTTCAGCAATGAGTCAATTATTAAAAAATCATTTTCTTCCAAATTTTGACAGTGACGTTGCGTAAAAATTTGTACAACAGTAAGTGTAGTAATGGAAGGAATGCAGTAAACTCTCATGCACAACATTTTATACATTATGATACAATATACCCAGTACATACCTAACAGGGAGACAAAAATACTCATAAATATTTAGTGGATAGTATTGCTCCTTTACATAGTCAATACATTCTATTGTTCAAATTACTTTCTACACGGACACATGTTTAACTGTGATGGTACATAAGCATACTTTGTGCTTTAAGTTACCTGTGATAAGGCTATGCAGGTGATAAACCCATTCATCCTTTAAATTTTATAATGAACTATTCCAACCTTCGAATTGGAAGAGTTCAAATGTGTGTTAAGGGGTGACTTTGTTAAGTTATTGCTACAAAGTCTGTCCAGGTTATATTAATATACATATAGATGATGCAATGTAGACATTCTGTGATCGTAATACCGTGTTGAAACTGCTGTCAGATAAACACAAGGTTAAGATTATTTTGTAGATGTTATATATATGGTTGTTACGTGCTAAAATTGACACTTTACAAACTAACAATGTGTAGACCTATTTTTTTGTCATGGTGTTGTATAGGATGATGATTGTAAACAGAGAAATTTGAACAAGTACTTTACTTATATATATATATACCACATACTAGATACGAAAATATAGAATATATATATATATACAAATATGTGTTTTACGAATGTAAGTTTGAAAACAAAGTTTTATTTGCATAAACAGAACCCTCCAGTTTATTTTCAGTGTTGAAGAGTGTGATGCTTATATATTATGTACACTTGCCAATTCCCTCTTTGGGAAAACAGGAGTACTCATGTGTAGAGCTGATATTTCACACAGTGTCATTTTTGCATTGTTGTGGGGAAAGAATTGCTGAGTTTAGCATTTTGAAGTAGATACATTTATAAAATAGTATTCGGCAAGATTAGGCTTGTTTTATGTCTTATTGAAGTCATCTTACAGCGGAAGTAACATAGGAATGATGATGAGACTGAAAAATTTAAATATTGCTACAGTAACGATCAAGTAAATAATACAGAGAAGTTTACCGGGCATAATTTGTTATAAATAGGCAAATGATAATGCAATGTAGGAAATAAGTTGTTTTAACTCGCAGATGTCTTCTGTGCTGTGTACGGAAGGTTTAACTTTTGTCTCCTCAGCCCTCTGATACGAGGACAAAATTATCTTATAAGTGAATATTAATACACAACATTTTATTCACACTAGTTGCACGTGAAAGGCAAACACTGAGGGAAAACGGATGGTAGCCATAAAGGGGCGAAAGTTTCCCGATACACTCTGCTAATTAAGTTTAACTTGTGTATATTGTGGAGGCTCTGCAGTGCTAGATTTTAATTGATGGCAAAAGTGATTTCCCATGTGAGCATCCGAAGAAAATGTATACTGATTTCGAGTATTACACGTGTTCTTTCTCGGTCCAAATGCTTGTATGAGCTTCCGTTAATAATATAGATATATTCTAGAAGTGCTCTTGTCTGTTATCATGTTAAGTTTTAATCCATGAGATTACCTATACATGTCGTATAATTTTTTATCCGTTAAATTTTATCCTTGCTTTAGCTATGGTTATACTATTGTATAGCCCGACCCTTACCAGACATCTGTCTGTCAAGTCTGGTGTCGGGGCAAGAGGAAACTCGGGCTTACTAATGTAGTGCTGTTTGTCATACATATTACTGTAGCTTGTAGAACAATTGTGTTATTGCTTTGTGCTTTGTTATTTAATGAAATTCCAGTTTGTGTTAAGTTTTTACCAACAACTTTTTTCACTTGTGTTCCAAATTTCAAGAGGGCATACAGTCCATTTTTGTGTATCAGTCAATCTTTATATCAGTTTGAAATTTACATAATCAGTTGTTGTTTGAAGACTAACTTGAATTTGAGCTCACCTGGTCCAAAGGAGAGCTTATGCCATGGCGCATCATCAATCTGTTATTGGTCAACCATTTTTCTTTAGGGCTAGTCAAGAACAGTAAAGTAGAAAGTAGAATTTGACTAAATCTGGTCTTGAACATTAATGGGCTGATCCTTCTCCATTCTCATGGGTGAAGAGTTTTCAGCTAAATAAGATCTTGAGCGTCCTTGGGCCAAGGGGACTCTTAAGTTGTATGAATGAAGGGTGTAAATCACCATTTGGCAGGGGAAATTTGAAGGACTAAAAGACAAAATGGTAAACATAATCTTTCCTCTTTTTACGAGGATGAAGGGATATTAACCAGAATCTTTGGGCTAAAGGCATTTATTTTTGCTGGGCGTTACATAAATACAACCTTGCTGCAAGGATTGCCTTCAGGGTCTGGTCTCGGCACAAGAGACTGTTCCAGAATCAGTAGAGATCCCTACCCCATAATTATTTATACGATTGCTAGGTATGAAGAGAGGAACACCATCATGCTATACACTCCTGATTTCAACCCCATCCCAAATTCTTAGTCTAGATCACAACTTGAAACATTTGAGATGCCGACACTATTACCATTTATAGAATTGCCAGGCATGGAGAGACAAATATAATACTGCTACTAGGACTGGTGCCTGGGTCAGCCTCACCCTGGTGGCTTAGTCCCTGTGTCATAACATGGAAACCATCAAGTTCCTAAGTCATAACAAAGCTCTGTATGATAAAAGTATATATATAAATACCTCAATGAAATTTGCTTTCAATGTATAATTGGTCTTTAACTTTCCTGGGGGCATTTTTTTTTTTTTTTTTAAATCTACCCCTCTCGACCAGTTAGTTATTTTTCATATATATTTGCTATAAAGCAGGGTTAGGACAAGGAAATCAAGTGTTACATAAAGAAAGGGTGTTGTCCCCCATAGTACTTAAAGAAATAATTGCAAAATATGCTTTAATAATAAAGCAAATATTTTGCCATGGCTGTTTGAATATCCAGGTGAGTGATACAGGCCCTCATGGCTTCTTGTTACAATATTTGAGTTATTTTGTTGTTTTAAAGAATGGTTTCTGAAGCACACTGACCAGGATCTGTATCGGCCCACTAAAACTGATTACAATCCCAGATTTCAAACCTTTCGATGAGACTCCCACACAACCGGTGATCTAACGAAGTCTAGGATTGGAATCAGATTTAGTGGCCTTTACAATCCTATACACAAATTGAGTCAATGCATGTCATGTTTTCTAAATTGATTGCTCAGGTTTCATGTTTTGGTTTGCATTCAGCTTGCCCTGAATTTGTAGCAGCAAGCAATGTTTCTATCTATTGAATAAATACCGGAAGGACTTAACATACAGTGTTAATTATTATGTATTGAAGAAGTTTTGAAATCCTGACACCAAATACTGGTAGATATATAATGTTTGGATTGTATTTGTTTATAGTTTTACATCCTTTCAACAGCATAGGTGATCAGAAGACTGGTGTCTAGAGTTTGGTTTGATAGTGTTTAAGGTCGTATGAAAAGCTAAGGTCAGTAAATGTTGTGCCTCAATTTGCGTAATATATGCATGCATGTATGTATGTGTGCTAGAAGCAGGATATTACCCTAAATGCCGAACGTTTAGCAGGAGATAACAACTAACCAACTACTTTTGTGTCTCGAAATAGAGGGCACAAAAGAAAATCTAATTTCTGCAGGGGGTTCCTACATTTGTTGCCTCTTACAACATGCAGCCAGAAGTTGTCTTTTTTTCACTTAACGACCTATCAACAGTCATTTAAGGACATGCCTTCATGTGTGAAATGCATGCGTGCTGGGGCCAGGGTTATGTTGGTGTATTTGCCTTCTTGCAATAGAGCGGATCGTATGCCGAATGAAGAGAACTTCCTCACAGAAATACCATGCTGAAGGCACCCATCACAGTAGTCCACCCGGTCACATTATACTCACAACGGGTAAACAAGTTGTTGCGAGGGTACATCCCGGTCTGGGGAGAGAACCCATTGCCTATCCTACTTGGGCTAACGCTCAACAACACCAAGGCCAAAAGTGAGGTATTGCTAAACGAGGCACTAGGAAACAAAAAGTTTGTTATGAAGAAAAGTGAAAAATAAAAATCCCAAATGTTGCAACGGTGACAGCAGACCTATTGTGGTTTCTGCAATGTTCCCTTAGCAAAAGACACCGAAGAAACCCCTTGATTTTGCAGGGGAACCCAACATTAGTCGCCTTTTACGACATGTAGCGAAATACACCAGGAATATTTTCCCCGAACCTACAGGGGAAAATGCATTGAGTAACAGCGAGCATATTCTTTTTTCATTCCTGTGCCCTGTAGTCTACGATGACACGAAAGCGACCAAACAAAACTGATGCATCATTTGCAACGATTAGGATCTGTATACATTTATTTCTACTTCATTGCTACCTTTCTTGACAATACCTCGCTTCAGGCCGAGGTGATTGACGTTTGACAAGAGAGGGAGGCAAGTGGTTTGGAGTCTTCAAAACTGGTCGCCATTTGGAGCTCCCATATGGCTATCAATCATCCAGATAGTGACCTTTTTTATTTCCATATGGCCACGAAGTTTCCTATGTCCAGATTTTCATAAATGTTTGAGAATAAACCCGTACAGGTTAGAGAAAAGAAAGACCTGCTATATCCAGATGCGTGTCGTGCATCGGGTCTGTTTCTTCAGTGTCTTCTTTTCAGGGGACATTTGAGATACCCAAAATCATGAATGTCCTACATAAGGTATTGTTTAGTATGTAGTTTATAGGCAGTGCAATTACATAGTCAGCTATTTGAATATCATATTAAATAGTGCATGTATTGATTATGAAAACAAATTTAAAGGAGAGCAATAATCAAACTTGCTTTTGACTTATTTCAGCGACCATTACGAGAACTATCAAACCTTTTATACTTTATAATAAACTGTACTGTATTTCTTTGAATGTGGCGTCAATATTTTGCACAACGGGAATTATGGTTTCTTGCATATATAAAAAAGATATGCATGCATTTTTTCGATTATTTTCCTATATTTTGATTTGCTCTGCATCCTTCCATTGTAATGCATTGAGAAGGCAAATGTTGTTATGAGACTATAACAATATTTGCTATTGTAACGTCATAAATTTCATTGTTGTCAAGACTTAATTCGGTCGAAATAACTAAATAAAGCATAACTACTGTATCAAAATGTTAATATAACTAATGAATAATTTAGCAAATATTGTAAGGGCCATAACAACATTTGCTAAAAAATTCTTTGCTTTAATAAATTAAAAACAACCCGGAAATATAAAGAAAAAAAAAAAATTGGGTCCAATTATATTGGACGGGCTACCAACCGGCACCTATTCAAGGGCGCGATCCCACTACTGTCTGACACGGAGACTTCTGCCTGCTGTGTTTCCACCCTGGGCCGATTCGTCCCTCCTTAGACAACCTGGTCACGCTGGGCTCCCCCAATGTGGCCATATTGATACCAGACTTAGCGCGGACGCCCTATCGACACAGAACACCGGAGGGTAGAACCCCCGCCCTCAAAGCGTCCACCAACCTCGGCCTCCAAGTAACTGGATTACAGGAGCACGCCACAACTCCCAGCCGAGAGAAATGTAAACAAATCGGATATATAACCTTTCATATGTAGTATACAATATAGACATTACTGTTTTAACATATCCTGATATTGATTTTATTACCTTCATTTGTTTTTGCCTTTTACACAAATTTGGTTGTATATTTGATAACATATTTTCGAAATATTTACACGTATTTGCCACGTAGCAGTATGACCTTTAACCCTACAAACGCATAGCGCACAACTTGACCCCCGGGGCATAATGTGGCCTGCACGTTATCTGTCATCATAGTCGGCTGATAGTCGGAACATGTATTATCACAGGGGCCGGAGAATTTTCCGTAATCTAGGAGAAAAACTTTAAAATGATGAATTTAACACTGGATAGCTTTGCTTGAGTTCAAGATAATCATAGCTAAGACTTGGAGGCTGAGGTTTGTGGACGGTTTGAGGGCGGGGGTTCTACCCTCCGGTGTTCTGTGTCTATAGGGCGTCCGCGCTAAGTCTGGTATCAATATGGCCACATTAGCGGAGCCCAGCGTGACCAGCTTGTATAAGGAGGGACGATTCGGCCCAGGGTGGAAACACAGCAGGCAGAAGTCCCCGTGTCAGACAGTAGTGGGATCACGCCCTTGAATAGGTGCCGGTTGGTAACCCCTCCAATATGATTGGACCCAATCTTTTGTTTCTTTGATTTTCCTGCTTTTTAAAAATTTGTTAAAGCAAAGAGTTTTTTAGCATATGTTGTTATGGCCCTTACAATATTTGCTAAAATATTCATTAGTTATATTGACATTTTAGCAAGTGTATCACTTGTATTATCACAGGGGTGAGTCTCGAAATAAAGACGCAAAAGAAAATACCCATTTCTGCAAGGGTTTCCCTCATTTGTTGCCTCTTACAGTATACAGTGAGCAAATTGGTTTTATTTTGTTTAACGTCCTTTCAACGGCCAAGGTCATTTAAGGACGTGCCTTCATGTTAGTAATGTATGCCTGCTTGAGTTCATGTGTGCTGGAGGCATTGAAATACCATGGTGAAGGCAACCAACACAGTAGTCCACCCGGTCACATTATACTCACAACGGGTAAACAAGTTGTTGCGAGGGTATATCCCGGTCTGGGGAGAGAACCCATTGCCTATCCTACTTGGGCTAACGCTCAACAACACCAAGGCCAAAAGTGAGGTATTGCTAAACGAGGCACTAGGAAACAAAAAGTTTGTTATGAAGAAAAGAGAAAAATAAAAATCCCAAATGTTGCAACGGTGACAGCAGACCTATTGTAGTTTCTGCAATGTTCCCTTGGCAAAAAACACCGAAGAAACCCCTTGATTTTGCAGGGGAACCCAACATTAGTCGCCTTTTACGACATGTAGCGAGATACACCAGGAATATTTTCCCCGAACCTACAGGGGAAAATGCATTGAGTAACAGCGAGCATATTCTTTTTTCATTCCTGTGCCCTGTAGTCTACGATGACACGAAAGCGACCAAACAAAACTGATGCATCATTTGCAACGATTAGGATCTGTATACATTTATTTCTACTTCATTGCTACCTTTCTTGACAATACCTCGCTTCAGGCCGAGGTGATTGACGTTTGACAAGAGAGGGAGGCAAGTGGTTTGGAGTCTTCAAAACTGGTCGCCATTTGGAGCTCCCATATGGCTATCAATCATCCAGATAGTGACCTTTTTTATTTCCATATGGCCACGAAGTTTCCTATGTCCAGATTTTCATAAATGTTGGAGAATAAACCCGTACAGGTTAGAGAAAAGAAAGACCTGCTATATCCAGATGCGTGTCGTGCATCGGGTCTGTTTCTTCAGTGTCTTCTTTTCAGGGGACATTTGAGATACCCAAAATCATGAATGTCCTACATAAGGTATTGTTTAGTATGTAGTTTATAGGCAGTGCAATTACATAGTCAGCTATTTGAATATCATATTAAATAGTGCATGTATTGATTATGAAAACAAATTTAAAGGAGAGCAATAATCAAACTTGCTTTTGACTTATTTCAGCGACCATTACGAGAACTATCAAACCTTTTATACTTTATAATAAACTGTACTGTATTTCTTTGAATGTGGCGTCAATATTTTGCACAACGGGAATTATGGTTTCTTGCATATATAAAAAAGATATGCATGCATTTTTTCGATTATTTTCCTATATTTTGATTTGCTCTGCATCCTTCCATTGTAATGCATTGAGAAGGCAAATGTTGTTATGAGACTATAACAATATTTGCTATTGTAACGTCATAAATTTCATTGTTGTCAAGACTTAATTCGGTCGAAATAACTAAATAAAGCATAACTACTGTATCAAAATGTTAATATAACTAATGAATAATTTAGCAAATATTGTAAGGGCCATAACAACATTTGCTAAAAAATTCTTTGCTTTAATAAATTAAAAACAACCCGGAAATATAAAGAAAAAAAAAAAATTGGGTCCAATTATATTGGACGGGCTACCAACCGGCACCTATTCAAGGGCGCGATCCCACTACTGTCTGACACGGAGACTTCTGCCTGCTGTGTTTCCACCCTGGGCCGATTCGTCCCTCCTTAGACAACCTGGTCACGCTGGGCTCCCCCAATGTGGCCATATTGATACCAGACTTAGCGCGGACGCCCTATCGACACAGAACACCGGAGGGTAGAACCCCCGCCCTCAAAGCGTCCACCAACCTCGGCCTCCAAGTAACTGGATTACAGGAGCACGCCACAACTCCCAGCCGAGA